AGATATATTAATCGGAGAACGACGAATTTAATAATAAAAACGAATCTTTAATTAAGGTAAAAATAATAAAGATAGTAATCTAGCTAGGTAATAAATTAAATGATAAGTATAGTATGTTCCGTACTTACGGGAGCTATGGTTACTTTATATAGGTATAAGGCCTATCGTAGCGTGTTATATGATGCATTAAGAGGGCATGTCTTACCGCACCACTACACTATATATAGAATAACTTTTCCTTACGTACGATAGTAATAATATAAGGTCTTATATAGGAACGTCTTTCTTATTCCTACTATTCCTTATAAGTAAAATTACGCTTTCGTTAATATTCGTTCGATAGTATTTAGAATCGTATTAAATGCTAACTATTACCCGGTATTTAATTAGTTAATCGATTTATCGACGGCGAGCCTTTCCTCCTCGTTATCGTAACTAAGCTCCTCTCGTAATAAGCCGTTCCTTTAATAACGGTCCTAGTTATATTCGTACCGAAGGAAGCTAAATATAACTTCTTTTCGGTTCCGTATAATAAGTTCTTAAGTAATTAAGTAAAACCCGAAATCTAAATACGGATTCTTAACCTTTATTAATACGGCATTATCCCGAAGTAAACGGTACCGTAAGTCCTCGTATATATCCTTACGGAAGCGCTCCTAGAGAAACGCCGAATTTATAACCTCGCCTTTAACTAATACGAAGATAAAGAGGTTTCGTAACTAACTACCTAGGAAATGATCTTATACTTTTTAAAATAAGTTAACCTAGTATTCGTTATTTCGAAAAAACCCGCGAGCTTTATATACCTCTTTATAAGTCGTATATTATACGCCTTAAAATATACGAAGGTCTTCGAAAGATATCGAGCCCGAAACCTTTATTAATAATAATCGTAAGAAGAAGCGCTCGCCTTCGCTTAGGTAAGCGAACTATATTCGGTTAATTATATATCGGTTTACCTTTCGCTTTATTTATTTTCGGCTCGCTTAGTTCCATACGAAATATCTCGGGAAGTCTTAATATAGGATATCTCTCGCGTTTATATACTTCGTATTATATCGAAAGTAACCGTTTAATATTATATAGATTCGTTTTAGCCTTTATTATAATTCTTCGGTAGTACCGTCTTTTAGAAAGATTATAGTATTCGCTTTACGAAGGTATACGGTAAGGGTAATAATAATAAGACTTTAGGCTTATATAGGAAATGTAAAGATATTTTAATACGCTTCTATAGGCCTTATATACCGACCCTATAAGTATTAATCGATTTCGTTTTTAGGCGTATTAATTTATATACTTTCGTTTATCCCTTAAATACGGATAGTAATACGGTCGTTATTTTTATAAATATACTTATGGATATATTTAACCGCCTTTATAAAAGCGTATAACTTAACGTTAATATACGCGGCGTACTTCTAACTTAATACGGAATTATATAGGATAACCTATCGATTATTAAGTCTAACTCTTTCCGGGCCGTTTCTTCCTTAGATATTTCTCTCGACGTATTACTCGTTTTATTTCCGTCGATAAGTTAAATAACCGTCGTCGTTAATCGTAATAATATCGATAAAGTCTTTCGGGAACCGCTTAATATAGTACCTAACTATATAGTTTAATATATAACCTTTTATATATAGTACTTTTAGGTTCGTACTACCGCAAAGGCCGTAAACTATTATACTAATAATTATATCTCGTAACGATTCTATAAGATTTAATTTTAAATCGGGAATCTCCGCGCGGATAACCTTATTTACGTTACTTACTTATAAAAACCGGTCGCGATCGTTAAGGTATAAGAAAAGAAGGTAACATAAGTACGGAAGCCTACGTTTTTAGTACTCGATCGCTTAGATATACCCGGTATAACGGTTAAAATAGTTTAATTTCGTAATATCCCGTAAAAGTTATTATATCTTAATATAGAATACGCGCGTTACGATATCGGGCCTATCGTTAGCTTCGCTTCTACGACGTAATTTACGCGTAATTTCTGGCTATCTTAGATTAGCCGTTATCGTAATAAAGAAAGTAAGTCTCTTAAGCTTTCGTATAATAACTATCGAGTCCTAATAACATTAGGATATAAACCGCGCGTTTCCTTTATAACTCGCCGGTAGGATAATCCTCCGTCCGAGCTTTACCGCGTTTATATCGTTTCGTCGGATAACGTCTTATAAGCTAGAGTATAAATCCGTACGTAATTTATCTTAATTAAACCGATACTATAGAAGCTATTTTTAATTAATAAAAGCTTAAGCGTTTACGACGAATTATTAAAATAACCGAGCGAAAGTAAACGGTATATATAGATTCCGTAATCTTCTATATAGATAATACCGGAAGTAATTACGGAGACTTAACGTCTTTCTTACTTTTGTATGGTTATATTCCTAAAAGCGTAGGTTCGTATCGTACCTTATGCCTCCGTATAAAAATATAAGTAAATATATTAACGGAATATAAATAGAATATTTATAATTAATCCTCTTATACGTATATAGTCTTAAGCTATTTTCTCGTCGTTTTATTAATACGATATCGCGTTAATCCGACTTATTTCCGTTAAGAAAGATAAATATTACTTTATTTATAATTAATAAGTTTTCTCGTCGTCGATTTCCGTTCCGTTCCGTAATTAACTTTAAATTTATCGTTAATTTAATTTATATATCGTTTAAAGGTAAGCCGTCCCGCTTTAATTTAATAGTAAGTATACGTAAGCGTTCGCGAGCGGTTATATAAATACGGATATATAGGTTAAACTATTTAATCTCGTATAATATTTACTATAAAAGACTAGAATCTAAACCGGGGTTTAGATCTAGACGTTTCCGTCCGGCTTCGTCCGTATCGTAGAAGTATAGTTATACCTATCGTAAAGGTACGCTAACCTCCGCTTCGAAAGGCCTAGTTCTATAATAAAGTATGCCTTAGATTTAAAATACCGTTAAGCTATGATTAACTACGTTCCTATTCGTTATTATATATTCGATAAACGTAAAAGTAAATACGTAATTATATTACCTTAAGTATTACTTAAAATCTTTCGCGCGAGAAGTATCCGAGTTTAGTAACTCTCGTATAAATTAAGGTAGTTCCGGATATTCCTATAATATAATATCCCCTTATCGATAACATTTAATTACTTTTACGTCTTCTACCGTTAAGCTCTTTAATTATTCGTTTCTTTAATATAAAGCGTTATAGTATTTATATTAAATAGCTATTAATAAACCTATATCGTACCTAGCTATACGAATACCGTTTAACGGAATCTACCTTAGATATAATTAATTCAGGGTATTTTTAATTAAAATAAAAGGTATAATAAAGGTAGCGTTTTTATAAATAATAATATTTAAACGAGCCGACGCCGCGCGACTTCGTATATTTAATATAAAAGAAGGGAAGAATCGGGTCGGCGATATAATAAAAGGAGTAAGTAGTCGGGTTAGTAATGCTATAGGAGGTAATAGTTAGGTCGGTAACGTAAGAAAAGGCGTAGGTCGGGATATTATTAGGTTTCTTCGTCGTCTTTTATTCTAAGTCTCTCGACTTTAATTAAATTCGTTTATAACCGCGCGGTTCCGTAATTACCTAGCATTAGGATCTAGATCTTATAACGGTTATCTTCGTTTCTAATCTCGGTAAGCCCGATAGGTTTTATAATAATTATTATTACTATATATTCGTCTTATAAAGTCTATTTCTAAACGATATTAGCGATACCTCGTATATTAAATAATAGATATAATAAAGCCTATATAGAAATAATAAAATACGTATAGAGATATACGAATACGTATATAAACCTTATAATATATAAAATAATAATAGAACGCGTATATTATCGATTAATAAAACGCGTATATTATCGATTATTAAATCTTTAAACCCGTACGGATTACTTATATTATAATCGCGTATTATTAAGAACGCGTATATAAAACTCTTTCGCGTAAACGAATAAGTATAAATAAACGTAAACGCGTATATACCGTACTATATAATAATAATCTCTATACCTAGGTATGCGTATTTATAGCCTAAATATAGTATAGTATGCATTTATATACGTAATTATATATATATATACGTATACTTACCGTAACGTATAGCTTCGTATAGCTTTATAGAGCGGCTTACGTAATTATAACCGTTTCGCTATTTTCGTAGACCAATTACCTTCGTAAGACTATGGCCTATTTCGGACTATAGCGTAGGTTTAATCTTAGTATATTAGATTTCTCGTCTTCCCGCTATCTACGGAGCCCTCGGCGTAGATTGCCCACCTCAGGTAATGAGCGCGCGGAACGCCGAGGTAGGCAGGTACCTACCAAGATAAGGCGAAATCGCGGGTGGATAATAATAAGTACAGTCACGACAGCAGCACCCGACATACTATATGAGTAATAACCACAATAAACAAATCTCCAGGGCATGATTTCTAGACCCCCCGAGAGAAAAAAACCATCCGGGGGAAGGGTGGCGGGCGTCTGGGCGCCAAGACGCGTTCCTGATAACGCCAGGGTAAGGGTGTGATGGCGCGAGCCCGGTGTTCGCGAGAGCGACTGGGTGGATCGAGAGAGTTGGGTGAGCCGAGCCGGAGAGGTGGGAGGAAAGCCAGATATTGCGGAGAGGGGGGGCGGGCTCTATCACGGGTCGGTCGTGTGGCGCGCTGCGCGGATCAGGTTCCGCAAGTACGAGGACGGCGACCTGCTCAACGCGGTAAAGCAGGTAAGAGCTGACTTCTTAAGCAGCTGGACAGTAATGCTGGCTACGACGCCGATCATTCTCGCCATGCTTATCATCTAAGATCCGGGGCAGGTAAGAAGGGACGGGGTGAGTAAGTCTATTGGTGGATTAGCCGTACAAGAGAGAGTCTCTACCGAAGAGGGAATGTGATGAGCGTGTCCTGCTGGTTAGGTGAAAAGCGTAGAATATCGGTTTACTAAGCCAGCAACAAGGGAGTACGGTTGATGGCGCGGCTCGTCTCACGTACTACTCGGACCGCGTGTCGAAACCACACCTCTCCTGATGGTTCGCCTGAGGGCAATCTACTGGATTGGTCCGTTCGTACCGGCCGACATCGATAGAAAGAATGCAAGTCGATAATATATGTCATGTCGGATTTTTTGTTCTCATTATTACATGCAATCGTCATGGCCCTGAACGCCCCGTTAACGCCGGCAGCAATGTCTATGGTAATTCCGCTTCCGCCTGAACGCTTCAATTCTCTAACCAGTCCAGGAAGTCGGGTGTGAAATAGCTGATGATGATGGAGGCGCCGGCTCGCAGTATACTTTCCGTGACCTCGAAGGCCATCGTCTTCAGGTCAAATACGCCCGCCTTGGCGGCGGCATGCACCATCGCATACTCTCCGCTCACATGGTACGCCGCGATAGGGAGATCCTTACCCAATTCCTTCGCGTCGCTGATGATGTCTAGGTACTGGCTAGCCGGCTTCACCATGATGATATCGGCCCCCTCGCCAATGTCCCGGACGATAGCCCGCCGCGCGAGTCCACGCCCGCCGGGAGGCAGCTGGTAGCACTTACGATCGCCAAACGAAGGTGCCGAGCCGGCGGCATCTCGGAAGGGTCCGTATAGACAGCCCGAAAACTTGGCTGCGTAGGACATAAGGAGCGTCTTGTGGGCAATCTCTTCCTCGATCAGCTTCAATTTGATAGCCCGGATACGGCCATCGTTCATATCCGAGGGCGCGACGCAGTGCGCGCCGGCCTGGACGTAGGCGATGGCAACATCGGAAATTCGATCAACCGACAGCTTGTTGTTCAGGGTACCGTCGTCTCGGAGAATACCGCAGTGGCCGTGCGACGTGTACTCGCAAAGGCAGACATCGACGACGATGAAGAGCTGGGGGAACCGCTGTCGCAACAGACGGATGGCCTGTATGACGGGGCCCTGCGGGTCGTCGGCGGCGGTGCCTAGGGCATCTTTCGTACCGGGTCGCAGAGGGACGCCGAAGAGGATGACGGATCGGAGGCCCTTTCGCACCAGCGGTTCCAGGAAGGGAATCAGCTTGCCGAGGCCTCGGCGATGCTGACCGGGCAGGGAAGGGATGACGGTCTCATCGTCCGGGATGTCTGAGATGAAGAGGGGATAGATCAACATCGACTACGCACCCCCTCGGTTAGTATGCCGAAGTGAGTGCGGGCAGGATCTGGCCAACCTTTGTCAGTTGGCGCTCCGATTGCCAAGCCCGGGCCAGGGGGTGGTGATAACCGCCGTGCAGCTGGCTCGAAATGTCGCCGGCGATGCTCACGCTGGTGGCCGCCGTGCTGGCATAGGACATGGCTCGGGAGATGTGTGAGGCACGGTCATCGGCGGTAGAGACGGAAGAGACGGCTCGAGATTGACGTGAGCTGCCGATATCGCGAATGGCTAGATCCTGGACGAGACTCGAGAAGGACATCTTGCCTCGTAGTTTGTAAAGACGCTAGTACAATAGGCTCCGGCAAACAGAACGCGGGATTCTCCAGGAATGGTGGTCAATTCGGATCGAGGGAGATGACGGCTTGGAGACCAACAAGGAGATCGCAAAGGTTGGATTAGGGTCGCAGCGTTTATGTAAGAGGATAGGAGGTGTGAGGGATGTACAGCAGGCTATAAAGAGAGGCGGATGTCTTGAGGGCTTGAAGTTGCACGAGAGGACCGGCGATCTATATGCAGTTTGTGTCTCGGAAGCAGCAGGTCTAGGCGGGTGTCGATCCGACGGAGGCGTTGCGAGTAGAGGTCGGGGAAGAGAAGGAGGAATATACAGGGAGGCGTATGTGAGTGCGTGAGAGAGAGAGAGAGAGAGAGAGAGAAGAAGAAGCCGGGGCACGTCCGAGAGGGTGTATGTGCTGAGTGTGTACGGGTCGAGAATACAGTAAGGAGGTTCGGTGGCATCTTCTTTTCCCTGGCGAATTCTGCTACGCCGGGAGCGACGGCGTCCAGGCTTCTGACTGGACGGACCCCTCCTCTGCGGCGAGGGCCTGAGCGGCACACCACAAACCACCGGGTACCTCCTACATGCACGATACGCAGCGGTGTGGTACCATTCTTCCGGTTTGCGGTACAGGTCACTAAGAAGTACCTTTTCTCACCGTCACTCTCGTGGCGGGTCAGCACGTTTCTGCACCAAGACAGGAGTAGACCCATGTAGACGGACTTGAGCTGTACTCCTCCGGGGACCCAAGTCGAAGTACACGTTTGCCTAGGTAAGGTACCTACCTACGTACTGACAGCCTGGTTTGTTTCGAATCTAGCCAGCTCTGTTCTTCCTTTTCTTTTTTTCCTTTCTTTTTTTTCCCACGCCACCGCCGACACATTTGCCGTTCCCTCGGCACTCTCTGCCCCATTCGCCAATCAGACCGGCATCATTAGCAAAACGGCAAAAATCTGAGATCGCATACTAGTGCATCGCGTGCATCGCGTACATTATTGAACGCGCACGTAGTGCTGTACTGCGTACTGTATAGATACCTTTCGCCCATATCCTATCAGGTTCTCGTCTTAGTAACGCAACGCCGCGAGGTATATGCCTACCTCCCCTAGGCAGGTAGGTACCTACTACCTATATACTCGTATCAATCAGATATACCGAGTACGTCCTCGGCGACGGAAGCTATCTGCTGATATCTAATCTTGCAATGCTGTGCTATCACCTGTATCCGAATTCCCCCCTCTTGGACATCTACCTAGAGCACATCTAAGACATACCTACTTAGAGCATGTCACACACGTATTCAGATATCGCCCATCCTTTTTCTTTCTTCTGGCTGAGCGTCGTTGTCGGGGAAGAGACCGCGGACCCGAATCTCCTCCCATATCCGACCCGCCCTTCGCTCGTGACCTATACGCGTGAAGAAGACAGCCGGGCGCATATGTGTGGCTTGCAAATAAGGAGGGCCGGGTATGAGATGATGCTGCAGCCTCCTTCTCGCAGCCCCGGGAACACGAACGGATGCATGTCGGAAGAGCAGCTTCACAGCATTCCCAGTCGTCTCCATACGAAGCTCGCGCCGCCCAAGAACGCCGTCACTCCTGTGAAGACGATCAGAGCGCCATAGCCGCTGCCGTAGCCGTAGGCTGCCGTGTCGCCTCTCCACGGCAGACCTCGGATCAAGCTGTCGCTCAGTGGCCCAGAGACCACGTTGCCGATCCCCCGGCCGGCTGCAAGCCACCCAAAGATCATGCTAGGGTCGAGGTAGGCCTGGCCGGCCACCTCTGCCTTTCCGACCACATCCTTCATGATCCCGGGCCAGGCAGAGGTATACGACCCAGCAAACAGCCCGTACACGACGCAGAAGAAGTAGAGGAGCGGGAGCGATGACGACAGACCCCAGATCACGAGCGCGCCGATCGTTGCGCCAATCGTCGATAGCAGTATACACGTCGTCACGTCGAGCCGGTCAATTAAATACCCCATGGCCACGCAACCAAATACGGACGCCACGTTCACCAGCAGGATTGTGGTCGCCGAACTGTACGATTCCGCGCCCAGCGTGCTGCGGGCGTACGTGGGAAGATAAATTCCCGGCAGGAAGAAGCCCATAGCCTCCACCACGTTCCCAAGTTGGTACAACCAGAAGCTGGGCATCATGAATATCTTCGAATCGAACGGCCGTACGTGCGTCGTCGCCGAGTAAGGCACACGCGGCTTTATGTAGCACGCCAGCGGAAACGTCAGCGCAAACAGCACGCCGGACCACAGCCGCAGCGTCGAACGGAACCCGAGCGAGTGGAGGAGAAACTCCAGCAGGAGAGGAAACACGACGCCCGCAAGCCCAGTCCCGGACCACATGATGCCGTAGGCCAGACCTTTACGCTGCACGAACCACTCATCCATATACTGGCAGAACACCTTCGTTAGCGGTGCGGTTCCGTCGACGACAGAGCCAGCTCACTTCTGCGGAGAACAACACCCGGATGCATCCCGGGAGTTCGACACGGTCTCAAGTTTCCGAAGCCCGCCACACTTCCCCGTTGGAGGGTGCCATAACCGATTTGGCGCTTTCATCGTTGACACACTTACCAATATGCAAGGACAGTAGGCGATGCCGCCGCCGATGGCGTAAAAGACCCCCTGAGTGACGATGAGATGCGTGACGTTCGACGAAAACGAGCTCATGGCGAGAGAGATGCACATGATGAACAAGCCGAACAGAGGCGCCCACCGGGCCCAGCGGCCGCAGAGGCGGATAAGCCCCATGATAAGGGGCGACGTCAGGTACATGATACCCATGGAGCAGGTTCCGATGACGGCAATATTGGACGAGCCGACGAACGGCTCGTGAGTGCTGTAGTAGTCCTGAAACACGCCAAAGGCGAACGGGAAGCCTGCGAGGCGATCAGCGAGGCGCATGCGGGGAGCGTCTAGACCTAGTTACCCCAAACCAACGCCTCGATCGAGAAGCAGGCTGCGAGGAAGAGCCACGCGTCCTTCCCACCGTCGACGGGCGGCAGCGAGAACGCCTGCCTCCCATCTTCGGGCGACGGCGGGCTGTGGTCACGCGAGCTTTCGCTAACGGTGGCTGCGGCGTCGGTTCCCGAGGATAGCTCGACGGGCCTGGAATCGAGTTCTATATCACGACCCGCCATTTCGGAAGCGGGATTGAGTCGTCTATGCTCGATGCTTCTTGTCATAACCGGTTGTGCTACGGGTTAAAATGCAACAGCCTAGCTGTAGGCATTTAAGGCTAGAACATCCGAAGCCCAAGGGAAAGGCAGAAGGGACAACGAGGTTGAGAATATTTTACGAGCATGGCAACGGCTCGGGAGGTGGGTTTGGCATCTTTATCTCACGCCTACGATGGGCCATCTCCGATCGAAGGAGCGATTGAGTGGAGTTTGGGTGGGGAGTGCAACGATGTGTTATGAATGTATGTGTAATTATTAGACCGAATTTTCATGACCGGACAGGTCTGAAGTGTTGGTTAGCACAGCCGAGGCAACCCGACCTTGCTAGGTAGGGATATATCATCGCCGGAGCGGCCCCTCTGCTCCTTGCAGTCAACTTAGCGGCGCGCCCTTTGATGACAACAACTTGAGCCACTCGACGGAGGCCGGTCCGGCTTGACGGGATCGGCGGAAAGGTAGAAGAAGAAATACCTGTCTCTATTAAAAAGAAAGAGAGAAAAAACGGTATGCTCTCTTTAGATATACTTCTTAGGTTATTTCAACTTGTTATCTACAATATAAACTAGGTCAGTCAATTTCTGTGCTCTATGGGTGTGGGTAGGTGCTTAGGTTAGTAACAACAAGTGAATGAGAAAATAGACGCGAATTTTGGAGTGGATAGAATCTTGGGTATGGATGTAAATGACATTTAATAGAGGTACTTGGGTAATATATTGGTGCTCATAGGGAAAAGGTAGTCTGGCATCTCAAATGCAACTTCGCTTCTCAAGACTCGGTCCAAGTACTCGAATTAGAACATATCTACTACTTTCGGCACATGGTTGACCTGAACCGATGGGATACGATATGCCCTTCAGGACTTTCGCCCAGTCGACCTAATCGCGGGCGTGAATAAGAGATAGGGAATTGGAGCGATAGAAATATCTCGCCCCTTAATGAGGGGTGAGTGGCGATAACGCCCTGCCGTACGACCCGGGCAGTTTAGCTGATTTGGTGGATAAGAAGTCCTCGCGCTCCAGTACTCGTAAAAATCCCCGCCGCTCTGTAAAAACATCAAAAAAAAGATATCTACTGTGCCCAGACTCCAGGCATCAATACGAAGACGTGCCCATTAAATACAGGCGTATATATATATATATAGGTATATACCAATATGACCAATATGTACCTATATCTCCAACGACAACGAGACCGCTCCCTAAATATATGCATGAGAGCCAGCGAGCACCCCGCGGCCCCCCCCTTCCCTTCGCATCTAAGCTCCTCTCACGCGGGTGGCTTGATAAGGTTCTCCTTGATAGTTTTGATGTCGTCGGGGGAGAAGCCGAGCTCGCGGGCGACGAAGGCCTCGAAGCCGCCGTAGACCTCCTGCACGCCGGCGGCGAAGGCGTCCCAGCACTCGGCGCGGAGGCTGACGAGGTTGTAGAAGCCGGGGTCGTCGGGGGAGCGGGCGCGGGAGCCGGCGAGGGCGAACTGGAGCAGCATGGGGCGGACGGGCTCGGTGCCGATGCGGGAGAGGAGGTAGTCGAGGACGACGGCGTGGCGGGGGGCGCCGGCGAGCGCGAGCAGGAGGCCGGCGAGCACGCCGGTGCGGTCGCGGCCGGCGGTGCAGTGCACGAGGAAGGGCTCGGCCGGGCGGTCGCGCACGTGCTCGAGCACCGCGCGCCAGCTGGCGCGGTACACGTCGACGACCTCGAGGTACATCTCGCGGTAGGCGGCCTCGCCGGCGCCGGCGGCGAAGCGCGCCAGGTCCGGCGTCGTGTCGGGCCGCGCGCTGGGCAGCCACACGAGGTCGACGCCGTGCGCGCCCGCCAGGTGCGCCGCCGGGTCCGGCGCCCGCGCGCGCTCCCCCGCCGACCGCAGGTCGAACACCCGCCGCACGCCCAGCCCCCGCGCCAGCGTCGCCGCCCCCGCCGCCCCCACCCCCGCCAGCGCCCCCGACCGGAACGCGAACCCCGCCCGCACCGGGCTCCCCGGCACCAGCCCCACGTCCCGCGCGTTGAACGCCCCCTCAACCTGCACGAACGGCGCCGCCTGCAGCGCCGGCCCGTACGCCGACGCCGGGATCTCCTCCCACACGTCGGTCTGCGCCAGCGCGAGCAGCGACGCGGCGTCGGCCATGGCGGGCGGGTAGGGGTTGGTCGCGAGGGGAGCGCGTATGAGGAGGACGGCGGCGAGGATCGTTCGGCGGGGTAGAGCCGGTGTTGGTTGCCTAGGGGTGTTCGGCGGGCAGGTGTGTATTCTGATAGATTTTGTCGTTTAGGGCTCGACTTGCGCGAGCTCGCCGGAGAGGGATGGTGGAAACGAGTGGGAGATGGGTATAGCGGTCTCACTTGTCAGCGTGTTGGGATGTCATCTGTCTCAACCAAGGTGAGAAAGAAAGAAGACCAAGAGGTGGTTTCGCCTATGTAGGTGCCTGAGGTACCCGAGATCATATACCTGGGTGGGAAGTACCTACCTCTTTGGTAGCGAGGGTCGGATATCACGGGCTTCCGGCGAGTACTGATCCCCCTTTTTCCTAGAAACGTCCCTCGGTACGTATATCCCTAGGCGAGACGCTGACGGGGCGTCAAAGCCGTTCCTGCAAAGCCGTTCCTGGATGGCAATTCTGTAGTGAAGCCATCGAATTCGCTGATTGGCTATTACCCCGCCCCCGCCTCCCCTCGTGAGCTCTCCGATTAAACCCCGCCAGTTATCGTTATCAGCGAACACACCGCATGGATGAATATATGCCATTACCCGAGGAGAAGGCGTCGTCGTAGACCACGTCGTAGCAACCAAATTTGCCTCGGCCACCCCAGCCCGTCGCTCCGGCACCATTACCGGAGATAATCAATCAGCCGTGCACCATGATGTGTAGGAGGGAAGATACTGTCTGTTATCTTGGCCGGGCAGCTTGGTTAACTGGGATTTCGGAGCATCATCGTATTCATTTACCTACATAGTCGTCCCCGGTTACTTGGTTTGCTTGAGCAGACTCGCTGTTGTCAGCTGCCCTGTGCTCGATGAATATCCGAGCAGAAATTCCCTCCACACCTGTCTCACCTCTCCTTCCGATACATCACGTTCGTTCCGCGTAGACATAGTACCGTGTGTCCGGCATCGATTGCGCTTAACAGCCTGCTCGCATGGATCGGCTCCGCATCCCCCGCCTCCGCCGTGACACGGCTTGGCTGTACGCAGCGGCCCTGGTGGCCGTGCTGGCTGGGGTCGTCAAGCTGAGGCAGGGACTCCTCGACTACGCACACACGGAGACGCACTGTTACCAGTCGGTGCATACGAACTGGGCAGAGGAGCCCAACGCGACCTGCTTTTCCGTGTCGCCGTCCGGGACGTTCACTCGGGTCTTCAGGGCCGGGGCGGACACCGAGCTCGCCCGCAGCGCGAGCCCCGGCTTTGCGATGCCCGGGCTTTGGGACGGCCACGGCCACCTCCTGCAGTACGGCGAGTTCCTGAACTCGGTCGACCTCTTCGGGTCTGCGTCCATGGACGACGTCCGGGCACGCGTGCGCACTTACGCCAGCCGGAACCCCTCTGCCGGGTCGAGCGATGAGTGGCTGAGAGGTGTGGGCTGGGACCAGATGGCCCTCGGGAAAATGCCGACTGCTGTGAGTGAGAGTTCTTAAAATGGTCGGATGTTATGCCCATGATAGTAGTTGTGGAGTGCTGACGGTTTATAAAGAGTGACCTAGCTCAGGACGAGGAGCTCAAGGGCTTGTACATAATGCTCGACCGAGTAGACGTGCACTGCGTCTGGGTCTCTCAGGCGGTCCTGGACCTGCTCCCAGACCCTATACCCGATGTCACCGGTGGCGAGATCGTCAGGGAGCCTGGAATGGGCGTCTTCTGCGACAATGCTATGGATGTGGTGATGGCGCTGTGGCCCAAGCCAGATGCTAGCAAGAAGCGGCATTTCCTGAAGAGCGCGATGAAGGAACTAAACGGGGTAGGGCTCGTTGGCGTACACGACGCGGGGGTTACTCCAGGCAATCTAAACCTCTATAAGAAATGGGCAGGGGGTGAGGATTGGACGGTCCGTGTTTACGCCATGATCGAATGCTACGAGCGGAACACGTTCTGCCCCGACGAGGTAGAACAATATCAAAGTGCTGATGGCTTTCTCAGCATCCGGAGCGTGAAGCTCTTTGCCGGTAAGATCTCCACCGAGGCCCAAAATATTCGATTTACTTACCTGTACCTCCTAAAACAGACGGCGCGCTGGGTAGCTGGGGCAGCGCCCTGATCGACCCTTACACCGACCGGCCCGACACCTCGGGCTCGCTACTCGTCAACGCGTCCGAGCTGACGTTCAACGCGATCGCTTGGTCTGGGCGCGGCTTCCAGGTCAACATCCACGCGATCGGAGACCTGGCGAACCGGCACGCCATCGACGCCATCGTCGCGGCGCTGCGGCTGCTGTGCCCGGGGGAGCCGCTCGCGCGGTGCCAGGCGCGCCACCGCTTCCGCGTCGAGCACGCGCAGATCATCCACCCGGACGACCAGGCGCGGCTGCTCGCTGTCGGCATCATCCCCTCGGTGCAGCCGACCCACGCGACGAGCGACATGGCGTACGCGGAGGCGCGGCTCGGCGGCTGGCGCACGGGCGCTGAGGCCTACCGGCTGCGCTCGCTGCTGCCGGCGCGGCCCGTCCTCGGCAGCGACTTCCCCGTCGAGCCGCCGGACCCCTTCGAGGGCATGTACGCGGCGGTGGCGCGGCGCAGCCCGCACACGGGGCGCGGGAGGGGCGCCGGCGGCGGCTGGCTCGCCGAGGAGGCGCTCGCGCTCGACGACGCGGTCCGCGGCTTTACCGAGGCGCCGGCGCGCGCGGCGTTCCTCGAGGGGCGCGCCGGCGCCATCGCTCCCGGCGCTTACGCCGACTGGGTCGTGCTTGACGCACCGCTCGATGGCGACTTCGACCCCGAGGCGCTGCGGACGCTGCGGGTCCGCGAGACGTGGGTTGCTGGGAAGAGGGTCTACGCGCGAGAGGGGCGAGGAAGGATGGAGGAGAGGGAGGAGTGAAAAAAAAAAGGGGCAGTGGGGGGAAGTGAGAGGGTCATAGACTTTAGATAGACGCCTAGAGGATAGAGGTACCTACCTAGAGAATAGGGGCGAATGGGGTGGGTCGGGCATCGTCACAAGCTACAAATACGTGTATGGAATCCCCTGTTTTAGTAGCGTCGCCTGTGCGTTAGGTAGCTATACCTAGGTGTGTTTGACCTAGCTCCGGGCCGGCTACCCGTTTCCCGCAGGCACTTGGATAGAAGCAATGCTTTGGCTCACTACCTGAATTATCCCAACGTCCCGACGCCGTTGGGGAATCTGTTATGAATCTCCATGATGCGACGCAGCTTCTTATGGGCTCTGTATGTTGGTCGAGATAACTCATAGGTAGGTAATACGTAAGTAGTTGGGCATGCATGATTTAGGTACACGCACTCCTTCCCCGGTGCCAAGGTCATATTCACCTACGGATGAGCCAACGAGCTGGGTTCTACCGTTGGCGAGCGGACTATGACCCCTATCCAGAGGTGCGAGAGAGCTGAGGCGCGAGGGAGCTGGTGCACGACCCGTGTCACCAGAGTCCGCCTCGACCGTGAGCCTGCCCCTACGCATGGGTGCCTGAGCAGCTGGGCTGGGCCGCACACGTGGGATCCTCGAGGGGCCCTCGGGGAGAGCTGTCTGCTCAATCTGGGCTCTGCGCGCAGGCTAATGCGCAAGTAGTGAAGACCAAGACGGCGCTACCTCGCGAGGCCGGCCTCCCGCGTGGCCAGCTCCCCAGGCTAGGCGTTATTACGTCTGTGCCCGCAGGCCCTCTATAACGCCCTGGCCCACCAAGGCAGCGCCTCGGGTGCGAGAGGCTGCGAAATATCGTGGCCAGAGCTGTTAGGCAGGGTCGTGAACGGCCTAGCTCAGCGCGATGGGACTAACCGAGGGGGCTAATGGAAGAGGTAGTCCCGGGGCAGCATCGCAATGTTTCAAGTCAATATACTAGCTGCTAGCTTCACGTCCTCATATCTGTACCTAGGTATATGGTACGTCACAGAGCACTGGCGCTAGTGAGTCCTTATTTTCTTTTCTAAATATTGTTTTTATTTATATTAAGCTGTTGGTTGATTACGAGTTAGGTATTATCTATCTTCTAGTAATATAATGAGGATGTAGGCAAGGGCCCTGGGTTCGGAAACCCCCTATTGTCGACGGCGGCGCTCCTCCTCCCTCTCGCCACGTCCTCCTCTCCCCAACCCTCTCCTCGTCCCTCTATGCGCGAATTAAGCACCACAGGGCCCCGGATACACGATCCCGCCGACCTCACCGAAGCTGTAGTTCTCCACGCCGAGGGGGCACTGGTTAGACGTCGCCGCACCGGACTCCGGCACCTGCTTAACGAGGAGTTGGCACTGTGTTCCTGTGTACGCCGACGCGACGCAGTTCTGTAGCCCGTGGCATTGCTCACAGCAGTCCTCGTTCGATACGGCCTCTACACTGATCACACTGTTTCCGGACCCGCTGCCGCCCGTCTTGTAGCCGACGCTGCAGCGCTCGTTTGCGCCGGTCGGCGTCACGCCCTAGAGAGGGGGGAATTTCAGCTTAGCACAAAACACTTGGTTGGGCCGAGCGATGCTGGATACCGATTAGAAATGTGATAGGCGGAGTACTCACGGTGGTAGCGGTCCTGGTTAACGTGACGGCTGACGTAACGGTCTCGGTAGACACGATGATGTTCAAGGCGGTCTGATAGGTGGTGAGCAAAGCTGTCTCGTGATAGATCGTTGCTGACTCTGGTCGACTTACAGAAGTAACCGTGGGGGGTATGCTCAGGCTCAGACAGCTGCAGGCAGAGCTTATAGCGTTGACGAGAGAAGTCTCTGTGGGGAGACTTGTAACTGTAGGGCAAGCACTAAAGGGGGATGGCGACGGGCTGTCAACAGCTAGGGTCGGGAGAGTGAGATAGTTAGCAACTTCTTCCTGTTGTCGGCGGCCAACAGGACCAGGTGCCGCAGTCTGCACCACTACTGTGGTCACGAAGCTGGTGAAAGACTCGGTAATAGTGGTCGAAGCGCTCTCCACCACAACAGGCACAGTCGGGATTCCGGTGATGCCGAGAACGTCTCCGCATAGAGCTGCAACGGCATTGAAGATGCCAGGAGCGCATTCTTCACGGCTTGACGGCTCTCCAGAGAGGAGACTAATGCTGTCGTTCCTGCATTGGGCCAAGGCCTTGCCACTCAAGAGGGCCACTGCCGCGATAGAAGATGATACGCGCATTTTCCGCAAGCGAGAGTCCGATAAGTTAAGGCCGAATGTCCCGATGGAGCTTCCACGACAAGCCGGACGGTCCCTACAGCAAGACCAAGAGAAGGTGAGCACGACAGAGGGAGGTAGAATCAAAATTCGTGCACGAGGTGATAGCTAACTATTATTAAAGGACACCGATCCTAAGCTCGAGGTCTAGGTGCTTGAGAAACTAGGACGTAGGCTAACGAGTTAGGGGGGAGGGCGAACTGGCGTCTCAGACTATCATCCGACTAGGCTGGGTATCCTCTATGGGCGGGCCGGGTTCGACTCTAGCTAGCACTGAACTTCAAGGCTCGAGCCCCGCTAGATTCTAGCTATTCTCTCAGTATCGTTAAGCCCTCGAAATGAGAGGCTCACACTGACCCATTGTGGCGGAAGGGTTGATGGTGTTGGGTATATGGCATCCTGTCGGCAGCCGGATATCCACTCCCACGTGGCCGCAGCGTGTCATCGAGCTGTAATCGTATAATACCTAGACAAAGGCTCGATCCTTGTCTAATTCTGGGTGCATATGGGGCAGGTTTTGCTAGACAACACGGCTATTGATCCACGCGGTGACTCAAAAGCGTAGCGCCATCCGTTCGCCTCCTCGGCTACGGCTACTCTTGTCGTGGGCTACCACGGTGACAGGTCCCTTGACATAGCGTATATCACTCGGGCTCGCCAAGATTATCGGCGACGTTATATCTCGACAGTACAGCAACGAGCAAGAGAGTATGATGGAGGCTAATTTCCGGCGCAGTGGCGTGATCATATAGGCCGCTACACCAAGCACGCCTGCGTGCTATCCGCCCGGCGTCACCCCTTCGATGCGACGCTCGAAAGCGTAGCTGTGGTTATACCTAGGTATATGTAGGTAAAGTAGTAAGAGTTGAAGATCGGAGACAGAAGATAAATGTCATCTATAGGGATGCGCGTATCGACGGGCAAAACTGCAGCTCGTATACGCCTGTACCTAGCTGAAGGACAAGTTTCGGGTGCCAGGTAGGTAGGTATGTTGAACCGGCGGCTCCCAGGCCCTAGATGATAGATTGCCCAGCTCTATGCCCTCCCTATTTTCAGTAGCTGGCGACCGGCGAGTTTCTCGCTCGCCAGCTTTCCTGGTCGGAATGGTAAAGGCCACCGCTGGCCAAATTGTCGGATGCCTTTGCGGTTAACAACTCTGACCTCACATCAGCGACGTGCCGAGGTTGTTGTCCTGGACGAGGAATTTTTACACAAAAAAACAGAAGTGGTTGTTTCTGGCCTCCTCCTGGGGTTTTAAATCAAAACTCGTGAGGATGCCTAATTTGCTTGACAGCTGGCGGGAGAGAGCGTAGGTTATGGGCATTGGTAGATGGCAAAAGTTGTGAATGTGGGACGCCAAGAAACGGGGGGTAAGTTTGTACCCTCGACCTTCTAAGAACTTCGTATTTTGAAGGAGTCTTGCTACTACTACTGCTGCTACTACTACTACGCTATAATGCGTCTATTAAGACAATAGTTGGTTATAAAAAAGAATTGATTAAGTGCACTTTTATACGGTACTCAGAAATGCAATTGAAAGGAAATTTCCGCGCTTATTATTAGTATGACCTTCTAAAAATTAAGAAGTTCTTAGAAGGTCGAAGGTACAAACCTAGCCCCCTATTTCTTGGCGTCCTATATTTACGACTTTTAGGTAGGTAGCTACTATGTAGCAGGGCAGCTGACAGCTGGCACGGAGCTGGTCGGAACGAGATCGGTCAATTCTGCGCCGAGGGCTTGGATCAGAGGGGGAAAAGATGGTTAGGTAAGTATTAGATCGTAGGTGACGCGCCGGGGCGACCTCAAGCATCTCGATATTTTTCTCTTGATAGAAGGGTCCCGCCTCCGCCTCATGCCGACCCCTCCGCCTTGAGGCCATCGCCAACCCTAGCCATGCCCAGGCGAGTCCCATCACAACGCTGCCCTGCGCCGCCTGCCAATTACCTGCTAATCGCACACGCCGTGCAGTGGTCGGTATCCATAGCCCGTTTCCCATTATGCGGTCGCAATTGGCCCGCTATGTCCTGCGGCGCCTTCTCGTGAGCGAGGTCTCGTCTGGCCCGCCTAGCTTCGTCCTCTCCCTACCTGGATTGCGCACGTGCCCCCTGAGGCCGAGAATCGCGCGGTGGCCACAGAGGAGGGGATTCCTCGGCCTGTTCAACAAACCGCCTCGCAAGCTCAAGGAGATCAATGCCGAACCGGGTTACGAGACCCTCCTCCAATACCGCGCTGCGGAGAATGAGAGCATCCGACCCCCTCGGCGAGCAGATCTCGTCCAGGCATGGCGCGACTTCTTCGACTACAAGATGGGTTATGGCCGAGTCGTGAATTCTACCCAGGCCTTATGCGCCCACAGAGTCTTTCTCTACCTCTGCAGCCCCTCGGCTTACAACCTGCACCGAGACGAAATATTATCCGTCAACGACCTGCGCTTCGCTAGGGAGTGTCTATCCAATGCGCCTAAGGACGATACCACCAGCCATCTCGCACTCTCGAGATCGCTATATAACGAGATAACGGCCAGGGGTGCTGCCGTGCCTAGAGACTTTCATACCTACGTCGCTGCCCTGTCGCAATACGGACAGTCTCTCGAGGCGAGGGACCTGGTCTTTGATTATTTCCACAACCGACCTGACGTGGATCCGATCGCCCGGGCAAGATGTTTTATTCCCGTCGTCCGAGGTCTTGCCCAAGAAGGACGCGAGACCGAACTCGTAGATCTTGTGACGGCAGCTAAGAAACTAGGACTCGAATATGACCCGCTGATTCACGGCATCATGACCGGCTTCTTTGCGAAGCGTGATAGGATCGGGGAGACCAAGCTCTGGTTCAACAACCCCATAAGTAGGGGCCTTCCACCGTCCTCTATGGCATACTACGATATACTTAAGTTCGCTCTGCGCAACGATCTGCAGAAATGGGCCGCTGGTATATATGAAGATCTCATTTCAAGGCTAGAAACTGGACCGTTCCGCGGCCACAAGCCCTGTTGGGACACCGCCTTTCAGTGGGCAGTCGTGCTACTAGGGAAAGGCATCGACCACATCGAACACATGCTCCAAGTCGCCTTCGAGCACACACGGGACTCACCGAATTCCCAACCCAACATAGGCACGATAAACAGTCTCGTCAAGATTGCCATCGACAAGGACGACCCGTACCTAGCCGAGAGGTTCATCGCGTTAGGCAGGAAACTGGGATTCGAGCCGAATTACAAGACGTACATGCTTCAACTAGAATACCGCATCCGCGCTAAAGACCTCGACGGCGCATTCGCGGCTTACCAGTCCTTCCGGGAGCAGGATGATGGGAGCAGGGACAGGGAGATCATCATTTTGAATGCCTTCGTCCAAGCCATGTGCTCGGTGCCGGAGCCTAATTACGAGCGGGTCCTCGACGTCACTACCTATCTGGAGCAGCGGCGGGCCATGGTGGAACCTGAAACAGTGGTGGCGATCTGTATCGCGTTTCTGAAAAACGACGAGACGTACGAGGTGATAGACACGCTGTCGCTCCATACGGTTCACTACAGTGTGGCGGAGCGCTACATGGTCCGGAAGGCATTTGTGAACTACTGCCTCGATAAGACAAACAGCACGGCCCGGGTGTGGGACGCGTACGCGCTGGTGCGGCAGTTCTTCCCCGAGCTCGAGGTCGAGGATCGGATAGCGTTGATGGACGCCTTCTTCGGCCGCCGGCGACCGGACATGGCGCTGCACGTGCTCACGCACATTCAGGGGAGCGGGGGCAGGGCCGGGGGGCCGCGCCCGACCGAGGAGATGTACGTGCGGTTTATGGAAGGGCTGGGGCGGTGCCCGAACGAGGAGGGCTTGCATACGGTGCACAACATGCTCAAGATGGACACGACGGTCCAGCCGAGCACGCGGCTGTTTAATGCGCTGATGATCGGGTACATTGCGTGCGGGGTGCCGCACCGGGCGCTCGACTTCTGGAAGGAGGTGACGATGTCGCTAGAGGGCCCCTCGTACGCGACGCTCGAGATCGTCTTCCGCGCCTACGAGGTCACCTCGTACGGCGACGGCCCCGCCGGCGAGCTCTGGGAGAAGATCAAGCGCATGGAGATCGAGGTCCCCGAGCACGTCTACGTCGCCTACGTCGCCACCATGGCCGCCCACGGGAACCTCACGTTGGCTAAGACACTGCTTGACGACATGCATAACGTCGTCGGGAAGAACCCCGGCCTCCACGCGTAAGTAGACATATATATATGCTTCTGCTGCTCAGTTATTTTTTTTTCTCCCTTTCTACATCTCTACTTCTCTTACTTTGCCGGCTACTTGGCTAACGCAGACATTGTACTCGCTAGGCTCGGGTTCGTGTTCAACGCGCTGCTGTCGGAGGAGAAGAAGCAGGAGTTCGAGGTCTGGGCCAAGGAGGAATACCCCCGGGAGTGGAAGGCGCTCAAGGAGAAGTTCGCCAAGAAGCAGAACGAGGACGGGCTTCCCGTGTTCAAGCTCAATCGGCCCTGGAAGGCATGAATAGATCAAGAAGAAGAAGAAAAGAGAAAGAAAATGGCGGCGATGATTCTATATGGCTGCATATCTCAGCTAATAATCGCCTTATCGACCTACTCGATATACCTGGCACATCTGGGTAGATAGCTCTGTCCACTGCCGCCTGTACATAAGTGAAAACTCGGCAGAACCGAGCTATTGTACAAAGCTTCCCGTTGATTGCATCTCCTTTCTCCTTCTTCCTCCTCTTGCTGGCCCTCGACTCTTGCGTCCCTCCCCCTACTTAGTACCTGAGGTCCTTATTGACCGTCGCCATATTCTGGGCCTGCATGCGGAAGTGCTCGCGGATGAGGAGCTCGGGGTGCCGGTGGACGCTGGGGTGGATGCCGAGGCCGATGGCGCGCCGGACGGCCTTGGCCATCTTGCGCTGGTTCTTGGGCCGGAGGCCCGTGTCGGCCGACCGCTTTATGCGGCCGTGCTCGGTCATGAACTCGGAGATGACGGAGAAATTCTGGGGAGGGGAGGGGATTGAGCGCGGTCAGCGAGCGGATCTCGGCAGGCAAAGCCATTTCCCTTTTCTCCCGCCGACAGGTCTCGTCCGGCGAAGGTTCAACTTACGCGGTACATGTCGAGGGGGTTGATGCCGAGCATGTCGACGAGGTCGCGCTTGCGGGCCTGGTTGCGGCGCCACTTGGCCATCTCGGAGGGGCTCAGGTCGTGCGGGGCGTAGACGTCGCCGGACCTCCAGCGGCGCGGCAGCTGGCGCGAGAAGTCGTCGCTCTGGTCCTGGCTGCGCAGGGCGTCCTCGAGGGCCATCCGCCGCTCGACCGAGTTGCGCAGCTGGTCGTACATGCGCAGCGCGCCGGCGGTCGAGCTCTGCTGCTGGGCGCCGGCGCCGGCGGCCGCGGAGAGGGAGTCGCCGATGTCGATCAGCGCCGACGACGCGGCGGGGATGTCTTTGTGGACTGCGGAGCGGGCGCGCGCGGTTAGCGGGATTGAGGGCTCGGTCGGAGAGGGGACGAGGCCGCGGCCGGCGGGCAAGCTGGCGGCCCGCTGGGAGACGGAGCGATCGGTCCGGTCTGCGGTACCCGAGCCAGCGGTGACATGTGCACGACAGTGGACTTACGGATCTTGGACGGCTTCGTGGTGGCGATGCCGGCCGTCTGCAGTCTCAAGAGCCTGGAGGGTTGCCGCAGCGCGGCGAGGAAGGGTATCCGCGGCGCCATGGTGGGCAATGCGACCGCGAATTTTTGTCAGGGTTTGCTGATTGCAAGCTTACGATGGACTGAGTGGAAGACCTCAGCAAATGGGGTGGGCTTAAAGTTGGAGCCGTACAGAAGGCAGCCGAAGATTAGCCGGTGAATCACCGGCTATGAATATATCGATTTGTGCATATACATATGTACTTATCCGTGCATGCATTTATAGCATAATCCACCGACCGTCCCTCCGGAGGTACCTAGGCACTTATGGTAGTCGATCCAGCTCAACACGCTCTGTGAGCCTTTAGCTGAACGTGCGCCGCCTAGATATGGAGGGTCGTTTGTGCTGCTCGCGATCTACATGGCGGAATATCTAGCCCGGCGGCTACTGAAGCGAGAGAAGTGGATCAGCGATAGCAATACGGGAGGCGTCGTTTACGTCGACCTCCCGCGAGGGGTAATCCGCGAGAACTAGTAGGTAATCGTACCGGACGGCGCGCCGCCTTAGCGCAGGCTATCCTATTTCCTAAGTCGTGTCGAATTATCGTCCCGAGCCTCTTCATGGCATCAGGTGCTAGTCCCAGGCTTATGCCCAACGAGGCGCAGAGCTTTGTTGCCTCCATGCACCGCGAGGGCGGGGGTGGGACGGGGCGCCGGATTTGCCGTACCGAAGGCTCGAATAGGCCAGGGAATGTATAGAGTTTTAAGAAGTCTAAACCTGCTATAATATATAGCTTTTTATACGAGAGATACCCACACTTGCATGGGACTGGTGAATCTTCTTCATTGTGATCGAAAGATCTAATCTATTTAAGAGCAGTCTTTGGATGGATTTTGAGAATCTTAAAGAGAATTTCATTGATTTATGCAAGTCTATCTAAACAATTGTCATGCCTGGGTTGACCAGTCCAAAATTCGGTCCCATACTTGCTGCCCATCATGTGCGTGGTCGATCCCCTTCAAAACAATGCCGTCGTGGTTGGAGTTGCCGGTATCGTAGACGCCCTCAGACCCGTCAATCACCCTTTGCGATATTTCCTCTGTAAGTTCTGGGTGTGACTGGAACGAGAGTATCCGGCCTGTGCTAGACAGAAATATCTCGTTGTTGCTAGCTAATGCTGAGAATCCGGGCGCCGGTGCAGTAACATATCGTTTATGAAACTTGTGAAGCATCTAGAGACGGGGAAGTCTTGGTTGGCGACCGGTCTAGTTGGGTATTCAAGTCTTCAAGGTATGAAACATGACTTACAAGATCCGGCTTTTCTCTAAAGAACTCCTGCCCCTGCCGAGAAAGTACGATTTCCTCAACGCCAACCTGGAGGATGACAGAGATCAGCATAGGAGGTCGGGTACGAGTAAGCTAACAGAGAATAATATAGACTCCGCAGACGGACAGAACCCGCGAACACTTACTCGGGGTCCGCCCGGCACGACTCCTAATTCACCACCGAGCGCGACTTGAATACACTGGTGGCCCCAGCAAAGTCCTAGGAGCTTCGTTTCTCCACTACTTCAACTACTTAGTTTCGCGAATGTACGGACAAATTCCAGTGCTGATTCAGCCCACGGTGGATGTGTGTCTGCGATCAGATTATCCGTGCCGCCGGTGAGTATGATCAAGTCGTAATGTCGCGAAGGCTCGGGCAGGCTGTCGCCGTCGACGAGACCACGCACGTCGATCTCGGCGGATGGTTGGCTGCGTCGAACGTGATTAACGAAGGATTCAATCATCAACGTCCCCCAAGCCTGCTGGGTAGTATAGCATTTGGCAATGAGAACCTTCATCTTCCGGCACGATATAGGTAACGCAGCTGGGAGAGACACGGGAAGGGGGTAAGCACCTGTCACATATCTCGGATAGATCGAGCACTACTCTGTATAAAGCCGAAAATGCTTCTCTATGCATCCCTCCGAGCGTATCCTGGGTCCGCGAGCGACGCGGGGTATACTTAGACTAAGTGTGGATATCCCCGGTCACTGTTACCTCGTCCGGATCCACAGACTGTCGATAAGAGCGGCCCGTAGAGAGTTGGAGAGAGTTGCGGAGCAGCGTGGTATCTGGCGGTTATCTCGTAACCGGCCTCGGGAAAACCAACAAATAACAGCTTAGGCCTAGAATGCTATCCCGTACCTAACACTTGCCTTGAAGCGCCACCGAGGCCTATTCGATATGAACATACCTAGGTATTATAGACATTGTTATTCCCCACCAACCTTCCCGTGACGACAGGCCCCGGGAATTCACCGCCCTCTAACCGCGTAGTACTAGGAGGTTATACATTCTCATTGCCGTCAGCGTCACCTCGGCGTTTTCGCCTCTCTCCCTTTCCGTACCATATGGCAAGACGTCTAATATTTTCCAACTCAACTTACGGCCATGGCGGATAACACATCAGACCGAATCAAGGCCGAGTCAGGAGTCGACCGCCCGAACTCTTCTGATAAATATGGCAGAGGCTAAGTCATGGACGCTGCCTATACCGATATCGGTTTGTGATATTACCACCGGTTTTTGGAGATGAACCCCGAGCACGAGGCGCAAGTTAAGAAACGCGTTCTGTGGAAAATCGACTACATCCTGCTTCCGGCTGTAGGACCCCTTAAACCCCTACACCCCTGCGACCAAGTGCTCCCGCAGCTGACGTGTGTTTCTATCGCCAGATGTGCTTCATCTGCCCGACCCGATGTCCTTCCTGGACAAACAGACGCTCAACTACGCCAACGCCAACAGACTGCGCGGGAATCTGGGGCCGGTCGGCATCTAGTACTCGTGGATCACGTCCATCACCAACATCGGCTACGTGGTAGGCGCGTACCCGTCGACCTACCGCCTGCAGAAGTACCCGATCGGCAAGTTCATATCCATCAAGCGCCTCTCGTGGGGCAACATCCTAACCGCAGCCGTCGGCGCGCGGAACTTCGCCGGCATGATGGTCTTGCGCTTCATCCTCGGCGCCCTCGAGGCGTGCATCGCCCCTGCCTGGATGCTCATCACTAGCATGTTCTGGATCAGGGGCGAGAAAGCCCGCCGCGTGTGCATCTGGCTCGGCACCAACGACGTCCCCCTCATGCTCGGCGCCGGTATCTCGTGGGGTCTCGGACACACGAACCCTCATTTAGAGCCGTGGCAGCTCATTTTTCCCGTAAGTCGTAATACCAACTGCCAACCAACGTCCGGTCTGGTTTTTGGTTGAAAAGAGATTCCAATCCGGTCTGTGTTACTGACGGCTGTGGCGCAGTGTATCGGCGCTATCACTCTCGCCGTCGGGGCAATCTCGCTCTCTCTCTTCCCGTCTAGCCCCACTGACTTCATGCTATTTAGCAAGGAGGAGAGGATCGTGTCGGTGTGGCGTGTGGCGGGAACCTAGACGAGGATCAAGCACCACAAGCTCCTCCCGTACTAGATCGAGGAGGGAAGAAGTCCTAGTAATTAGATATTACCATTCGGAGTTGCAATTTTCTACCTATCAGGAAGCGCGGGGGCTGGAGAGGGCGTTGATACCATCTAAGCAAGGCCAGGAACAATGTCTCCTCAAAACGGGTTGAATAGCGCAAGAAGAAAGTTTGGTGTCAATATCATATCTATGCGTTTCGTTCAATAGCGGGTTATTGAAAACAGAAATATTACCATGTTCGCTTTTTTACTCCTCTCTCTCATAAGGTTGCTGGTCGCCTCCCTACTGGATTCGATCGCCCCAACTTCCGGAATCTCACACCGACGAGAAAATGCTACAAAGGGGATCAAATAATGCAAACCTCCCTCCAAAACGTCATTGGAACGCGCTCGCGACCCTCAAGCGAAGGGAATCAGTCACACCACGTAGACGTACGGGTCAAGATCGTCGACAAATTTCAGAAGTGGCCTAGAGTCCAGCGAGCTGAGCCAGAGTGCCGATCGATTCGCCGCCCAAAGTCCGACGAGGATCATATCCTCTTCCGCTAGATCGATTACCTCCTCGCGGCCTGGAGCGTTTATCAACTCTTGGTTCAGGGTCCAGGACTTTCTTCCGTGCTCGAGGCTCCCTGTTTGGTAGTGGTATCGAAATCCCGTGTTGTCGTCCGCCTGCTCCCCTTTCTCACTTTCTCTTTCTGCCGTCGTCTCGGGATGGATCGCCCGAGCGTCTTTCAGATTAATCCCGAGTTCTTCCAGATCAAATGCGAGTATATCCCGACCGGTTATGGATTCTTCCCGACTAATGACGGACTCTTCCCGACTAGTTACGGGTACTTGTGGGGTACTTACGGATCCTTCGTCCTGCGTTGACAGAGAGTCGGATTCAGACTTATAAACCACCTCCTCGTCTGGAATTTTCCTTCCAAGTTTTTTACAGCAGCGCTCAACCATCTTCCTGAAAGAATCGTCGAGTATAAAGAGCGTACCAAGCGGAACGCGAAGAGGCAAGACTTTCTTCTGCCGAAGTAACGACGAGAGCTGCTCGTCGTATTCTGTGTAGTCCATGGTCTTCTGCGCGTGGAAACTCGACCCGATTTTCCACCTCTGCGCTTTCGCTTCTGAGGTCCAACCGAGAAGCTGGAGGAATTGAAATTTCTTAGCACTGTTTCTTCTCAGGATGAGAGTGGACAGCTTCAGGATCGACGTCCAGAAACTATATTTGCGAATAAGATATCCCCAATGGTCCCATTCGAGTCGTAAGAACGAAGCGAGCATCGTCTCGAGGTCTTTCTTAGGGAAATACCAGGGCACACCCTTACTACAGCGGTACCGAGCTAGGTCATTGATAACTCGCAGCTCAGTGCGGTATCTAAATCTCCTTCGGATATCTTTGTGTTCGGCGATATGCTCGGTCGCATCCAGACCGTCTAGAGACTGGGGTAGAAACTGCAATACTCTGATGCTGGCAATGCCGAGGCACCTCGCGAAGTTCCCGATGGACATCGGCAACTCATCGCACTCCTGCAGACAGAAATATACGTGTTTCTGCCGACGTTGTCGGATCATCCGAGGTGGGAACTCAGAGCCACATGTGGGGGTCTCAAGTGATATGACAGTCTCCGTACCGCCCGCGCTGCGGTCCGTTGGGAGGAAACCATGAGCCAGCCAAAACTGTGTCCGCAGCGAGGACCGATCACTCTTTTCCTCTATCCCCGGTTGAAAAACCTCCCTTCCCGTATGTGGCACAAACGAGAGCATAGTTAGGTTGTTCCAAGACCCTTTGTATCGCCCTAGATTTTTCATTGTCCCAGTAATCCCGTAGATAGTCCGTATTTCGAAAATCGGCCCACCGTCTACAGGTGGCTCCTCTTCGGCTCTGGTGTCGGTATCGGAGTTTCCGAGGTTTGTGGTACAGTAACTAACCGATTCAGAGTCACTATGGATTTCTGACGGGACAGGGGGACCCTCTGGCTCTCGGCTCAGGACGGAGATTTCTCGAGGGTGACGTTCTCTGATGAAGTAGCTCAGTGCAGCCTTTTCACCCTGAAAATCGCGCCGTATGCCCGTCGTCTGAAGGACACCCCTGTCAGCACGATTCCCGTACCGGCCAAGCAGGCTCAGCACCATGATCCACTGCTTGCTAACGACAAGTGCAGTCCTGCTATCGACCACCTCCAGAGTGCCGCTTCGAGGAATCTCCATCTCGACTTTCAGGTTGGTGTCTATGTCGCGCACCCGATAAGCCTCGATAAGCTCGGCCAACTTGGCCCAGCCGGTGTTCCAGGGCACATAGTCTCTTCTGTGTAGGGTCCAGAGGCCTGCTGAAGCCAGCGAGATCAGTAGCGACGTGTCTATCTCGTTGGTGATATAGCCGGGTGACAGGTCTGGGACTCGAATCCGGCGAAATATCCGTAGTCGCTTAGCTAGTCGAAACCCCCGCGAGACGTACTTTTCTGGCTCATCCTGGACCGCGTTCATGGCCCGGTTGTGGTCGCTGAGGGAGGCCTGAAGAGCAAGATACGGACCGACGACGCCGATGAGGGCAAAGATGGCAATGGCGGCTGCTACCCACGTGCCGATGGTACTCGTTAGAGCCACTAGATCCGTGCCGCCGGCCTCACCTCCAGACTGGAGGTTTCCCCCTGACGAGAGGTCTCTAATTGTTGCCGTGTTTGACATGGCAGGCAGGTTTTCGGGCGTGACGTTCAGGACTACCTAAATTAAAAGGAGTCGCAGACGGAGGGCGCGATCTGACCAAATCGAAAATGCCGGCAAGATGGAAATACCGGTGATACTATATGGACATGTTCAACAACTAGAGTCCAGCAGGTACCGTGGGACCGCATCCCAAGAGCTGTACGGGAGTCGCAGCGAGCTATAAGACTTCTAATACAGCCAGGCCTTACTCCCACCCCCCTCACCCTCACCCAGAACTAGCGAGCTACACACATCAATACATTGGTTACTTTGTCGTAGCCGACGTCATTCAGCATCCAGAACCGTCCGTAGCCTTATCGCCAAGAAGAAAGCACACCTCTTACTAAACTACATGTAAGAATAACACGGCTAAAATGGTGACAGCCTGCATGTGAGCGGATTGCACAATGCCCAGAATCTCGTTGGGTAGATAATAATATCCACACCTACGCAACGCGCATCTCTACCTCGCCCGTCGATCCAATACCTAGGGTGGAGGAGATCGATATCGAGTCAAGATTGTGTGGCAAGACGTATCGCGTACGGTTTCGAGGCGCCGACGGCGATGAAAGCGACGATGGTCTCCGCGATGGAAAGCAAACTCCACCGGGGATCTAGCAATACCATATCAAACCAGTTGATTTTGTTTCGGACCGATCCGAGGCGTATTATGGAGTAACATCGTGCAGTGAGTGCCTGCAGGTGACTAGCAGTAGAGACGATGTGGTTGCAGGTCATTGGCGCATGTTATATTACGTTCATAGACAGGGCACACCAGCGGCTGAATGCTAGCGAGAGCCGCGGCTGGTTAATACACCTAGATGACAAGCTCGTCTCTGTATATTTATCATCCGCAGCTCTGCGAGCTCCTGTATGATATAGTAGCAAGCGTTGAATTCACGACAGCATACGTGATAGGTATTGACATTGCGACGTGGGGGTTGACTGCTAAACTAAGGGCTAACGGACTACTGCCTATGGGGCTACCTAGGAACAGTAGATATAAGAGTATGCGGCTCCGCAGGCTATGCGGCTAGGGTGCTTTGCCCTATTAGCTCAGCAGCTGGGTGATATATCTGATTAAATCAAGTTCCACACCGTATCTCTCAACATGAACCTCGTGGTAAAGAGGACGAAATATCACTCCAATTGGCTTTGGGCTCATTTGGCTTAGTTAGGGCTGGATTATCTCCCTCCCGAGTCTTCAACGGTTCGCGTCCAACCCCCCCCCCCAAAAAAAAGCTGACACCTAAAACATATCTTGCCCTTCTGTAAGATCGGGCTCTGAGTACACGGTAAAGACCAAAGGATGGACCGAGGTAAACTTGTCCACCGCAAGATGAGGTCGACGGGGCTATCTTCGTGTTTGGTTGCGTTCGTGGCTTCGCCATATCGCTGAGTGCTACATCGTATACGGATAGTACGCCGCCGTACGGGCAGCATGTGGCATTTCAAGCAACGCATGCTCATATTCTAGCTTAGCCATGCGAGATAGGATCCGGCGAGGAATAGGGGAAGTGGGACCATAGACATAGGGGGGAGTTGCGTGGGGTGGAGCGAATGCCTACTCCCGTATCCCAACCCTCGAAATCGGTTAACGCTACGCAAACCTCCCGCCAACGTCGGCGAGATGACTTACACTGTGCAAACACATCTTCACGCGGGCAACGGGGGAAACACCGGGAGTCACCCGGGACAGTGAGGAGAGGTTATATACGGTAATTAGAGGTAGTCCTACCAGCCTTCCCCGTTACATAGGGTGCTCCCCTGGGTTGAACTGTGGCTAGAGAAAACCACCACGAGGTTGCCTGTTAGTCAGACCGGTTGAGTCGTAGACCGCCGTGACTTCGATGGCTGGGTATTCCGACTGCGGTTTTTCGTAGGTTATCGATGACTGAGCTTTTTTTTTCTCCAGGCCTACTTTTCCTTCCCTGTTCCTATGTCCTTATTTTCTACCGGGACGCATTCCTTCTTTTCCGCCCCCGTGGCCCCGGAAAATCGGGCAACGTGCAAACCCCCTTTTCTTCTCATCACCCGCGCGGCCGGTACAAGATATCCGTGCGCATCGTGTACTTGGTGCCCGCGAGGACGTCGTCTCCGGCGTGGTATAGGCGCTGGTGCTGGAAGATGAGGACGCGGCCGGCCTTGGGGTCGACGTCGAGCCTGCGCGCTAGGTCGGATGAGAAGAAGGTAGTGGCGCCGCCGACAAGGTCCGAGGCGTCGCCGACCTCCTGACGCGAGTCGTTGAGGTAGAGGTGCACGGTGAAGTGGGTGAGGACGGCGTGGCCGTCGTCGGTCCGCTCGCTGTAGGCCGAGTCGCAGTGGGGGCGAAAGAACTGGCCCGGGCCGTAGCGCAGGAAGCGCATGCGGCGGTTGAGGCGGTGGAAGTCCCACCATTCCTGGACGGGGGCGCCGCCGGCGCCGACGGGCCCGCGCAGGTGGCTCTGCCCGAAGGCGAGCAGCGAGTCGCTCACCTGCGGCACGGCGGCGAGCCGCGCCCACAGGCGGTCGACCACCTCCTGCTGGTCCCAGATGATGCGGTCGCTGTTGCGGTACTGGGGCTCGGCGATCTCGAAGCCGCCGCCGATGTTGACTAAGGCCGGCCCCCATGGCGTGCCGTCCGCCTCGTTGTAGTTCGCGTCGACCACGCTCGCTTCGGCCAGCCGTATCAGCGCTGTGCACTCCGACGCGCTCAGCACGTGATCCAGCACGACGGCGTACATGCCCGCGTACTCGGGCAGCGGCGTCGCGGCGAAGTCAATCTGCCGGAACGTGGTCGGCTCCGCGTCGGGCGGCTCCGCCTTCAGGAAGTCGTCCAGGATCGGCACGTCCTTGGACGCGTACAAAACGCGGACCGGGAGGGGCATGGCTGCTGCTGCGGCGGCGGCGGCTTTGCACGACTCGGAACTCAACGAGCAGGGTTGCTTTTCAACAGGAAGCTTTTATGGCTTGTGTTTATACCTGCCTACCAAGGATTCCTTGGTCGTTATTTTTCGGGTCCACGAGAAGTTGTTCGATATAGCCATGTGCGAGCCACCGCTTATTATAGGTAACTAGGCATACGTTGCTATGCCAGGCAGATACTTACCAGCGCGCGGTGGCCTAATAACGCTGGGGAAAAACTGGAAACGGCTTAGGAAACGGGATGCCTAGCGTAGGACTTGAGACTCCGCTATCTTCTCCCCCTGGCCAAGAACACGTAGCAGGCTGTAGGTGGAATTTCCGCAGTGTATATCATACCAAGATAGATCGTACCACGAGTAAGAGAAAGCGAGCCGGGCTACGATAGCTGGAGGCACCCGCCGCGGTGTCTGAGAAGTCCAGCGTGGGCGTAACAATTCAGGCTGACCTGCAGGGGTTACCGGGTACTACGCACAGAACCGGTATACCTACCTACAGGGGTACCAAATGTTTGGGAGACTCATTCACTAGAATTAAAAAACGACACATGTTCCTAGACGTCTTATTTCACTTGCAAGACCAAACTCAACAGTTTAAGCATTACAGAAATATAAAGGACTATGTCATACAACGTTCCGCACTCTAATTCTACACAGCGCCTCAGTACCGAATCACGACGGATGCCTGCTGCCCCTTACCCGCCAGCGAGCCCTCTTACGCCAACACTAAAGCCTGGGCGGCCGTGCATAATACGGGGGTGGCCCATCGTCTGTGCTAGTTTGCCCATACTGCGGCCGCTAGCCATCGGTATTGTTTACTTTTACTACGTCAAGGTCTTTCGCGCGTGATGGCCTTCGCAAGCTGACCTGCCCCGAGGTCACGTAGTAGTATGATGTGCTCCTGCACCCTGCCGTATATATGCTTACACCGTCGGGGGCCCTACGAACAACTCTCACCGTTGGGGGCCAGTAGATCTAACGCACCACCACGCCCCAGGGTTGGTGTTGGGGTAAATATGGAATCGTGGCCCCTAACAGCAGAACGCCACAAGCTGGTCTTGGGTGCATGGAATGATAAGTAACTCCTGCCTTAGTCTATCGCTCTTAGGGGTCTGATTACATAATAGGTAAGTCTCGACATTAATTGCCGTTTTATGGAAAACAGGACAAGGCAGGATAGATAAGAAACACGTTTAATTTAATATGAGGTGGTTGTTGACGCGATGACGTCTCGAGATAGAGGCATTTTCCTAAACATCACTCTTTGCCCTGACCGACCCGTCTCGACCCGCCCACTACCAGCGAGCGCACAGTTTTAGCAATTGACTAGCGGGAACCGAACTTGTTGCGCGGCTGGGGCGAGCACTGCTATCAACCTGCCTCTAGCTAGGTACCTATATTCACCTTGAAGCTAATCCTAGGTATATTCGCCTGTGAGGTGCTGTATACAAATAGCTAGCCTCGCCCTTCAGAGTCTCCATCCTTGATACAGCGACATTCTCAGGCACTTGATCGGTTAAACGTCGTTTTTACCCTGAGACATAACAGGTACCTAATACCTTGCAGCTCCCGTCCTGGACCGGAATACAGCACCTAGGTACTTCGGCCCCCCCGGCTATTCTCAGTAAGGTCCAGCCACCATGGCGGCCACCAACAACCCCCTCGCCTTACCCTCGGACTCCCCCGCCGCCCGCGCCCCGCACGTCTCGAGCGAGGCCCTCACTGTCGCTGGGCTCAAGGTTGACGTGTACGGGCTATCGGAGCTGCCGCCGGGCGCCGGCGCCGTGTCCTGCCTGTGGCTGCATCACCCGCGGCTGCGGGCGCGGGGTGACATGGCGCCCGTCGCGGGGCAGATCCTCGACGCGTACCACCAGCACCAGAGCGGCGGCGGCGGCGTCGACCGTGGCCTGATCGCCGTCGCCTTCGACCAGCGGAACCACGGCTCCCGGCTGGTCGACGAGCTGGCGAACGAGGTGTGGCGCCAGGGGAACAAGACCCAGTTCGTCATCTCCTTGTCCCCCCCTCCGTGTTTCTGAGAGGCTGACGCGAGTCCACGCAAAAGCGCGCAAGACATGTTCGGGACCATCTCGGGCGCCGTCGTGGACACGAGTCACCTGCTCGACGTGCTCGAGGGCCACCTCTTCGGCGCTGGCCACGGCCCGGGCGCACCGTCCGACCCCCAGCAGCGTCGGCACATAGACCATCACCTCGTGCTAGGCGTGAGTCTAGGCGGACACAGCGCCTGGCAGCTGCTTTTTACGGACCCTCGGGTTACGGCAGGGGTCATGGTGATCGGGTGCCCCGATTGCATGAGTAAGTTTTGTGGATTCCTAGACGACGAAATCTTCGCATGATGCTAATCCCTTTTTCTAAAATGCTAGATCTTCTTCAAGATCGTGCAAGATTATCTAGGTTGCAAACCTACTCGGCGGAAGATAGCGGTGCTTCTTTTTTCGGTAGCAGGGATTTTCCTGGCGTCTTGGTGGGAGCATGCAGGAAGTACGACCCGAAGGGTATGCTGTTCGGAACCGGGGAGATCCCTGAGGAGCTTACTGCCGCGGAGAAAGATAGATTACGGACTTTGGTGAGCGACAAGATCGGCGGGAAGAGGCTTCAGGTCCTCTCCGGTGGTAAAGACAAGCTGGTTCCTTACAGGGCCGGTCAGAACTTCATGAAATTCCTAGCAGACGCTGCGGGCACATGGCTCAAACACGCGGATATCTATCTGGAGGATAACGTCTATCCAGACGCCGCTCACGAGTTCACGGTCGAGATGAGGGATGCCGCTACGCGCTTCGTCCTCGAAACGGTGGCTCTCAAGGCAAAAAAGGACGCTGCATCCTCTAGAATCTAGCTAAGCTATGCGGGTGGCTTGGTGTAACGAGCTTAGGAATACGGGCGCTAATATGCCCACGGCTGTGGAGGCCCCTCGAGGAGACAATCCTCGCCCGATTCGGTAATGCTTGACTTCACACCGCTCCGAATACGATCCCGTTCGTCAGCGAAGAGTTTCTGAGAGACCTGCCACGGATTTCTCTTCCTTCGCTTCTCCGCCAGAAGCTCGCCTTTGCCGTGAGGATCCGCTCTCCAGTGGGAGATGGCCTCGACAATACCCCTGATGGCGGCCTCGTTGGTCCCGTCGAGCATACCGGGTGGATCCACGCCGATGAATTCGACGCGGTCTAAGGGGAACCCAATGGCACCGCAGTGGCACTCGGTAAGGCGCTCGCGCTTGAAGGCGTGGCTGACTATGGTCAGCTTCCGGGGCCAGGTCCTGTAGTCGCTCCAGAATTTAGACAGCGAGAATAACACATTAAAGTAGGAATCCAAGGCCCGCTCCTCGCAAGAGGTCCTCTCTAAAGCTTCGGCCTCGGGAAGAATCCCGAAGTAGGCGTTGGCGCCGGCGAGATTGGCGTAGCTAAGCGCCTCGGATAGACGAGTTTCTTTCCTCGTGGGCCCACTAGAGACGTGATACGCATGGAGTCAATGGTTTTGAGTGGAAAAAGCACCAGGACGTGCGCGTCATTGGGCAAGAAAAGATGCAATATGTCCCGTGGCCTCTTCTCCTCCGCATTCCCCTCCCGACCCCTCTCGTACAGAAAAAAGAAAAGGGGCAGAGGGCGAGCAGCTTACCCGGAAAACATGAGAACGGAATCTGAATCGCTCGACAGCGCGTGCAGTCCGGCCTTGATATGCTCTATGAAAGTCGGCGTCTCGCCCTTCTGGAACCCGGCGATGAGCCACTCGTCTTCGTCGAGGCCGCACGTAGGCCCGCCGAGCCAGATGCCGTGGCAGCATACGACGATCAAGTTCCTAGGCTGTGAACTCGACATCCGGTGGCACTGGATACCATACGTGAGTACAGTCAGGAGCACCGCAAAGGCAGCTTTTGAAGGCGAACGACGCTGGGCATGCTGCGCGAGGGATGGCGTCGAACCCACAGCAGGGATAGGCGGGTAGACGTGTACCTATACATATAGGTATATATATACACATATATACGTTAGATACTTAAGCGTGATAGATAAATGCATTCGGCAAGCGCATAAACATTAGGTATCCGCAAGAATAACCAAACATCGCATTCAGTGTCATCACAAGCCGCGAGTCGCGACTGTAGCCGATCACCAGGAAGTCCATTTGCTATTGCGACGACCATTTTATCTCGTTAACGCCTAATCCATCGCCCACATAGGGAGCCGGTAATCCGTCGGACATGATCGCCGGGATCCTGCCACCTAGGTACTTATTTTACTGTGTACTTACCTGCGGCCATTAGCTAGACCTGAGTAACTTGAAAATGTCAGATACCAGATACAGGCTCCCCGCAATAACGAGAGGGCCTTCGTCGGCGACTGTGCTTGCCCAGCTGAGGGCTGAGCGTATATCTGTAGACCCGTTGAACTGCGAAGAAATCACAACGCCGCTCTCGCGTATGGTATCCAGTACAGTTGCCGAATCCGTCGGCTTGACCCAAGGCATCTGGTCGACCGGGCCAAACTCCACAGCCCCTGCGGAGTCGCCGTCACGCAGAAGCAGCTTGAACATTTCTGACACGTCCTTCCCCTGGGTAGCGGCAAGCACCCAGGTGACTGGCTTATCGCGAGCTCGCAAGTGCTTTGCCACGAAGCTCGAGAGCACTTCGGCCGATTGAGGGTTGTGGGCCCCGTCTAATAACACGTTCGCTTTCCTACCGGTGATACTTTCGATGCTTAGCCATTGGAGCCGTCCCGGCCACGTCACGCCCCGGGCCGCTGAAACGAGGACGTCGACGGACGCGGCATGCTGCGGATAGGCGATACGAAAGGCTTCGTGGGAACACGCGAGGTTCTGGCGCTGGTGCGGTTCAAACCCGTCCCGCAGCCTCTGCCCGAGTGGATCCGATTCGAAATCGGTGAAATGGGTGCTGCTGCCTGTATCGCTGGCGTGTTTCCGCAGCACGTCCAACACGGATTTCGGGTTAGTGCCGTCCACGACACAGGGCACGCTCTTTCGCATGATGCCGGCCTTCTGGAGGGCGATTTCTTCGATGCTGCTGCCCAGAAACGATTGGTGGTCGAGGCCGATCTTGGAGATGACCGTGACGCTCTTGTGCTTCAGCACGTTCGTCGCGTCGAGCGCCCCGCCTAGCCCTACCTCGATGATGCCGACCTCGACCTTCTCGGACTCGAAAATCTCGAAGGCCGTGGCCGTGAGCAGCTCGAACTCGCTAGCGCTGAGCTTCTGCTCCTCGTTCCTCCGCTTGACCAAGCCCTCGAAGTGGCGGAACGTGCTCTCCGACACGATATCGTCGTTGATGGTGATGCAGTCCCGCGGCTCGACGAGATGGGGCGAGGTAAATCGACCGCAGGATATCTGATTGGCGCGGAGCATCGCGATCAGGTACGCACAGATAGAACCCTTGCCGTTTGTCCCGGCGACGTGGATCGCTTTCCATGTCTGTGGTGTCTGCTTGAGCAGAGCTGCGACGCGTGTTAGGCCGAGGTTTACCATGCTGCTGGGTCGTCAAGAAGCCATAGGCGACTGGGCACGTGGCTACGCGGTTATGACGAGTAACAGATACCGGCGTCAGCTGCGGATCGAGAGGTGGTGTCGGTTGGTATGTCCTCCGGCTCTGGCTTTGTCCCTAGTCGTCCCTGGCTGCGACGCAGAGAGGAACCTGCAAAAATGAGTCACGATCGGACGGAATTGTGGTAGGAGGGGAGGGAATCGTAGGAGGCTGGAAGATGGAAGTGTAGATGGGACTGCGCGCAATGTGTCTGCCGCAGCCAATCGATTTCTCATCTCGGCCGGGATGTTTCGTTTCTGATAAGACCCCGAAGCTCTAACTATAGGTGCTGAGGCACCTGATGTACATACATCATCCGCACTCAATACGGCGGGGCAGTGGGAGGGAAGGGGAGGCTATGCCTAATTTAGACACCACATGGAAAGTACCTATGTACCTGGGTAGGTACCTAAGGTAGATAGGTAGTATATTTGTCGGTACCTTCGGCAGTGTATGCGCTTCGCATATCATACAGCAGAGAGGTATGTATACCTTATGTATAGTTACTTTCGAGCGCGCCAAATCGAATCTCTAGATAAGGTTCCAATATGTTTCGTCAGAAGTACCTCCTAACGTAGATGCCTGCACCTACGTAGCATCTTTCGTAGGTACACACCTCCACCCTTTCCTCTATCATCATATGTACCTAGGTACCTTTCCTTGCCAGGGCAGCTGGGTACTTGTTAGGTACATAAATGATCTGTGCATCAGGTGCCTGCACGTCGGTACCTTGGGTACCGCGATGTATCTACGGGGCTGATCCCCCTCTGTTCCACTCAGAGGTAAAAACGGCACTGATCCCCGTCGCCCGCCCAGTCTCCATCGAATCCCCCATCAACCCAATTCTCTCGTCGCCCGCTCTTCTATCCGCGCCTGTCGCCCCCGATCCACCTTTTCCAACTACCTACCCTTCTTCTTCCTCTTCCTCCGTCCGCCTCTACCCATCCAGATCTATGTGCTCATCCCCCGCCGATTTGCCCAAGGACCTGTTTCTTCCCTACCCGTCTCACTCCGTGTCCCTGCCTCCGTCGCATCTCCCGTCTCTCGACGACCAACGCACCATCGTTGTTCGCCTCGGGCTCGTCCCCTTGTTGTTTTGCATCCTCCGTCGCCGTCGCCGAGCTTGGCGAGCCATCGCCCCTCAACCCTGCGCGACGTCGTAGTTTTCAACCTGCCCGTCCTGTGCAACGTCTTTGTGCGTTGTCGCGTACAATTTAAATCTATTGATTTCTAGTCGCCGACTTCTTCTCATCATAACCTGTTCTCTATCAACCTTCTTCTCCCCTTCTCTCTGCTTAAATTGCTGCTTGTGTTGCGACGAGCGCAACCCGCTACCATCCTACCTTCGTGCACATACGCGCCCGTCCGAATCATATTGGTCCGACTGCCCGACAGATTTGGGCCCTCTTTCGCGTCTTACACGATCCCAACCCCTCCCAGCGCTCCGGGACCTTTCTCTGGCTCTCTATTGCTACGCGCATCAACCAACCACCAAACATGGGTCTAAGGTAGGTCTCCCAGGACGCGTCGAATCGGCTTCCTGGCCGCTTGGCGCCTGCAACATCGAATTATCATCGCGTGTGGTGGCATTACGCACACTATGTCGGAAGCGACGTTCTCTGTTCAATCCCCATCTAGCCGCGCCCAGCATTCTCATATTTAATTCATCTTGCGCGATCGATAGAACATTTACTGACTTCTTTCGTTTCGTGCTACTAGGCTATTTACCGAGCCCGTCAAGTCTGACATCCCCCCCCGGCAGGCTCGCGGATCTCCAGCTGACCCTGCCACGGCCCGATCCCGGATCCGTCGCGTGTCGCCTACCCAACAGCACAGTGAGCGACGACGCCACCTCCAGGAAAGCCGCGAAAATCGACTTCGGATGCTTGTGGCCTTGCAAGATCGAGACGATCATCACTTTTCATCCGCCATACGACTCGGCCCCCGTGGTCGCGGTGCTACCCAGGGCCCCTTGACACACGGTGGATCATACCGCGCTGGTATAGAGGATCCCGAGTTGACACCCGAGGTTGCCGCTCTCTTCCAGCGTCCCGATCGCAGCGAAGATGCCAATTCTTACTTCCATATCCGTACCCGGCCCGCGGCTAATGCTAGTCCCCAGCGGCCGAGCCTTTTCGACCGGTTTGGCGATGATTCAGTACGTATTCGACTATACTTACTCTCCGTGATTCGTGCCTAGTGGACGCGGCCTTCTTAGATCTCGCGGTTGGATTTTCTAAATAGCGGGCCGCCGTGCTAGCTTTTATAGCCACGCGACATGTTGGTCTATAGCTAACGGCCATTCCTAGATGCTTCACCAAATTTCAAACCGCCAGGGTCCGGTTGATGAAAGCGCGCCGTCTCGAGTTCATTCAGATACCCCTGCTGTTCAACCTGCATCGCCCTCTCGTGCGGCGAGGGCCGAGCTACGAGACCCTATTGCATACCGAAGGCGACAACGTATTCAGCAGCAGCTTCGCGGTGGCTTTCGGCTTCTTAGCCCGTCGCCCCCGCCCCCACCTGGATACTCCCGCCCTGGACCTCGCGTTCGATACGTAGATGGCCTAGGTGACCGAGACCGTAGTCTTAGCCCAGAAGGCGACGGGGTCTGGGATATTCTCCAATCCACGCTCGCTCCGGATCCCCAACCGCCGAGTGTGGGCTCCTCGTTTGGGTCAGCTCACCCTTCCATTGCAGTCTCGCAACGTACTACGCGAGCGTCTGCAAGCACGTCGGTCACAAGCCCGGGAGACGAAACTGAATTTCCTTGCGACCCTGTGAACGACACCGACGGGGAAGACGATGCCGAAGGCCATGTTGACGATGACGATGGCGTTGTCGATAGCATTGTCGAGTCTCAGAGACTCCATCGTTTGAGCGCCCGCCGAGGGGTCCAAAGCTGGCGAGACTACGCGGCGACTATGTCGTCGCAGCGAAACGCGCCCGATAATGGCGTGGACGGCGGTGAGACGCGCAGAGTGCGCCGCCTAATCCCACCACTGGGGCTGGAAGCGTGGCAGAACTACGCAGATATGGCCGATGCCGCGTCCTCCCTGCCATCGGCTCCTGACGATCCCCTGTGGCTAGACGGAATGCATCGTATTGTCCGCGGACTTGCCTCGCGAGAGGACATCCCGGACGAGTGGTGGGCCGAAGCTGGTCTCACCCGCTCCATGTCATGGGACGGATCCCACTAGGATCGGCGAGCTCTCGGGGCGGCGTAACACAGTGCTCGTCAGCGAGGCGGGAAGCAAGCAAGCGAGCGTACGAGCGGCGGTCAAGGGTACCGAGAAGGGAGCGGAGGCTTTCATTTTGGGTTGTTTGAATCCTGGTATGGTAGGGGGCGTTGCGGAAAAGTTGAGGGAGCACACATCGCATGCAGTTCGCTCTGTGCACTCCATGCCAAGGCCCCGAGGGGAATCTCTTTCCTGGTTTTTCTTTTTTCTTTTTCGCGCCGCATGACGTCGCGGTTGTTATGTATAATCTGTTGGGAGGGCGTCTCGGTCGGTATCAGAAGAATGCGCTCTCGAATCCGGTTTGCCGGCGGTGAATCGGGGCCCAGCACATGACGGCTAATTGAGCGAATATTATGACATTCCTAGCCACGTAACACCTGGACGCTCACGCAAGGGCAGCTGTCTAGATCGTATAGATCCACGGCGTGCATCTAAGCAGCAAGCTCGGTAGGCTAACCAGGAGTGGGCGCTGTGGAGGCTCTATATATATACCCACATCCCACGGAAGCTGTGTAGATTAGGCGATTAGGCGCCCGACCGCGAAGGGTACGGCTGTCAGACGGGCAGAGCCCTGCGAGGACATGAGGTACCTACGTCTACCCGTCGAGGTGGGATGGCGTACCTGAAAAGGCCTTATGCAGCTTATCCCGGGGCTAGCACGTACCTGGGGGGTACATGGCTCAGGCAGAGCGGCAAGGCGGGGTGACGGGTAGCTGGAGGTAGCTCCCGTATGTCCGCAGCGCCTCGCCTCGACGGGGGCAGGTCGGGCTAGGCTACATAGGTGTGTAGTCTGGCGTGGCATAATGTAGCATAATGTAGCATCGTCCACCCCAATCAAGCGGGAGCCGCGTGAAACAGCATTCCAGGAACAGGACTCGGGGTGGTAGCGACCTCTGCCCGGCTTATAATTGGGCGCCCAATTTCGCACCTCTCTCTCCCACAACCACCACCATAACTAACCACCACCACCACCACCACCACCACGCCCACCGCAATGGCCACGCACAACGCACACCATACCTGACGCCCTCGTTATATTACCTACCGGCCCATAACGCACCCTTCATACGCACCCGTCATACGCACCCATGGGCGGACGGACACGCGCACCATTCGCCCGCACGCAACTAGCCAAATAGCCAACGGCCCAACCCGTTTACTCTCGTAGCAGACCCGGCGTCTGTGCTCCCTCCTCCCCTCCCCTCCTCCACCAACACCACCAGCACCACCATTTCCTCCCTCTCCCCACCCCACATCGTGAGGCCATATCTGTCTCTAGCCATCGAGTTGACCTGATCCCAGTTCTGACGGCGACGCAGCTTCGGGCCCCCGACCACCCCCACCCGGCCTAACCCAGCCCTACAGGCCTCCCATTTGGGTCTTGATCGGGATTGCCGAACCCGATACCCTGGCTGTCCTGACCCCGAACTCGACCCTCCCCCCGATCCGTGCTCCCAGCCCTACCTGCAGTTCCTGGCATCATCTCGTCCTTAACCGGTACGGAATCCCCGCCAGCTGGAATGTGAAGGGACCTGGTTTCGACGCCGCCGACAACGCGTGCCCACCCGACCACCACCACCACGCTTCCCCCCCTCCCCCTTCCCTGGTAAATCCAGGTTGCCGGTTTTTGCTCCAGAGCTCGTCGAGGGAGAGGTGCGTGCCGACCAGACCACCCCGGCCATGGCGCCTTCGGGGCATACCCCTCACCCCTCTAACGGCTCCTCGTCGAGTGAGCGACACTATGCCTTGGCAAACGGGAAAGGTGTGCCGACCAGGCACGAAAGGCCGCCCAATACACCGAGGAAAGAGAACGGCGGACGTGATAAGGCCTTGCAAGACCCGGGCTTGAGGGATTACGTACGTGCATTTCTCCGCAGCGACTTACGAACGTGTCGGACCTCGAGTTGCGCTGACTGGATTTATCATAGCGCCTGGGGGAATGTCTAGGCAAGGGAGCCTTCGGCGCCGTTTACAAGGCCATTCATTGGGGAACCGGCGAGGCAGTTGCGGTAAAGCAGATCAAATTAGTAAACCTGCCCAAGAGCGAGCTGCGGATGATCGAGGTACGTTGCAGAATAGCAGATGCGAAGTCCTAGTGGGCCATACTGACACCCTCCCAGGCCGAGATCGACCTCCTGAAGAATCTCAACGTAAGGACAGAAAAAAAATTGGCCCCATTCCCTCTCAATGCCATTCAGACTGGCTGTCCTTGCCAGGTCCTAACCTAATTTAGCACGATAACATCGTCAAGTACATTGGCTTTGTCAAGTCCGTGGACTGCCTCAACATCATCTTGGAGTAATTCCGCCCGGTCCGCCTCGGCCGCTCGCATGACGAAAAAGCTGACATGGCTTAGATATTGCGAGAATGGTTCTCTGCACTCGATATGCAAGGCGTACGGGAAGTTTCCCGAGAACCTAGTGGGGGTTTACATGACCCAGGTTCTCCAAGGGCTTCAGTATCTACATGACCAGGGTGTGATCCATAGAGATATCAAAGGGGCGAACATCTTGACTACCAAAGACGGTAAGGTAAAGCTCGCGGACTTCGGCGTCTCGACAAGTACGCTCGCCGGTCCCGATAAGGAGGCTCAAGTGGTGGGAACGCCGTACTGGATGGCGCCTGAGATCATTGAACTGTCCGGTGCCACGCCCGCCTCCGATATCTGGAGCCTGGGCTGCACCGTTATTGAGTTACTATCTGGTAAACCTCCGTATCACCATCTCCAAGCTATGCCCGCTCTTTTTGCTATCGTCAACGATGATCATCCACCTCTACCCGAGGGCGTATCTTCGGTCTGTAATCCCCTCCCTGCCTCCCAGGTGGCATGCTCCATACGCGCGCGGGCATCAGAGCTGACTTGTGGGCCTAGGCTGCGCGTGATTTCCTTATTCAATGTTTTCAGAAGGACCCAAACTTGCGCGTGTCCGCGAGAAAACTGTTAAAACACAATTGGATTGTAGGCTGTCGCCGGAGTGATGCCCCGGTGGCCAAAGCCCCCGGCAATTTCAGCCAAGCCGTCGAGGAAGTCAAGCAGTGGAACAAGGCCCTGACCTCCTCCGAAACCAATCTCAGGACGTCTGGAGGCTCCGAATTTCTTGCTGGCCCCTACTACCACGGCCATCCGACCTCGCGCTTCGCATCTCAGGAACCGTCGCGGTCTAGCATGCCAACTGCAGCCAAGGGGCCCTTCGCCCTGGGAAAGCCTAGACCCTCCGCCGACGACTACCGTTCCCCTGAACTTGCGGGTGAGTGATAGCGGCTGTGGTGCGCTACAATGCGCGCACTTGCACCAATTCCTCCTCCCTTCACCCGCCACTGACCTTTTCTAACAGACGATGACAACTGGGACGACGACTTCGCGACGGCGATATCGCCAAGCGCGTTAAGGCTTCCTCACGTCAAGCCGCAGGACCACTTTGGTGGCATGCTGTCGGCTGACCGCCTGAAAGCCTTCGCGTCCATCGATATTTCGCGCGACATCTCGGCCAACTGGGACAATGGCTTCGACGGCGAGCTGATGACGATGAAGAAGCTGCAGTCAATCCCAGACGAGGACCCCCTTGAAAAGACCATTCGCCCCAATTGGAAGTTGCCGGCACGACCTGAGAAGACGGCCGAGACGAAACCGCCGTCGGCAAAATCGTCCCCCCGCAAACATGCCATGGGCCCTAGGCAGAAGTCCCAATCGAAAAATCGCCTAGGCAACGCCTTCGAGATCCCGCCACCGAGGGATTTAGCATTTAGGGAGCATTCGGTGGAAGATTACTCAGACGTCTTCGACGACAACGAGAGCGTCTTTAACCAGCGACTAGGCGTCAACAAAAAGGTATGCGCTTCTGCCCGCCCGCATTTGCTTCAACGGAGAGAAAAGGAAGAAGAAAGCAACCACTCACGCTCAGAGTCGCAACAGCCCGATACCCCTCAACTCTTTCACCCTTCAGACCTCACGAGTTTGCCACGGTCTATGCAGTCGCCCGTGACGGGCAGCGTAAGAAGGCAACCCTCGGCGCGACCCTCCACCCTTCCCGATCGGCCGATGCAGCGGTCAAAATCGTCTATCGAAATCCAAAAGTTTGCTGAGGATGAGGAGGACGAGGACTTCTCTGACATATTTGGCCTGGGCGAAAACCTGACGGAGAAGGAGGAGAGCGACCGCGGATCTGAAGACGGCAATCTTATGGTCCTGTCCCGACTCTCCAATAATTCCTGGCTCGGTGACGACGAGGACGAAGACGACCCTTTTGCTTCTATGGACCCGGACTGGGACGAGATGGACCTGGAAGCAAATATCGCCCGGGATCGGCACGCCCGGTTAGCAGAGAAGGTCGAGGAGCTTGTTCGCTCCCTCAAGTCGACCGAAAGCGAGGAGAACTTGCTGCAACTTTCCGAGGGCTTGGTTAGTATCCGTCGATTCTCTCTCGCTCGATATCGTCTCCCCTCGTAATGCTTACGTGTGCTCATAGCTGGTCTTGCTTTGGGAAAGCACCGAGGTCAAGAATCTTATCATCAGCGCTCACGGGCTACTCCCGATACTCGAAATATTGGAACCCTGTACGGTAAAGACGAGACAGCAGCTCATACTACAGCTCCTGCAGGTCGTGAACACGGTACGCAAACTAAACCTACCCCAACCGGAACACCACCGGTAGCTTACTTAGCGTCTGTCCAGATCATATTAGACGATGTTGAGCTCCAAGAGAATCTGTGTTTTGTCGGAGGCATCCCGATTATCACCAAGTTTGCGGCGCGACAGTACTCGAACGAGATCCGATTGGAGGCGGCCGCCTTCGTCAGACAGATGTACCAGACTTCGACGCTCACACTGCAGATGTTTGTCAGCGCCGGCGGTCTCAATGTCCTCGTCGAGTTTTTAGACGAGGACTACGATACGGCGAGGGACTTAGTGCTTATTGGGGTAAACGGCATCTGGAATGTCTTCGAGCTTCAGGTTAGCTCCTCATGTCCGCGTCACTCACTGCTCCTATTAACTCGTGTGTTCAGGGCCCCACGCCTAAGAACGATTTCTGCCGCATCTTTTCGAGAAGCAAAATCCTCGACCCATTGGCTCTCGTACTACACCGCGTGCTCGACGAGGATTGCGAGAATGAGTTGGCCGAGCTGATTGAAGGTCGCATCGTCAACATCTTCTTTTTATTCTCTCAGGCCGAGAACTACGTAAAGGAAATGGTGGCTGATCGGCAAGTACTCAAAAGTGGGTAACATCGCATTCATGTCAGGCATACCTCGAACTGACAACTCGGCCAGGTATCCTCAAGGACCTCCGACGCATGACGCCCGCGCACCAGATTACGATGCTCAAGTTTATCAAGAACCTCTCCATGCTCTCAACTACACTTGATGCCCTCCACGCCGCCGACGCCATCGACCTTCTCATCGAACTACTTAGCGGTAGTATGAGAAAGGGCTACATTCACTTCCGCGAGATCTCGAACCAGGTGCTCAACACCATGTTTAATCTCTGTCGCCTGAGTAAGGACCGGCAAGAATACGCTGCTGTCAACGGGATCATACCTCTCCTCCTGAAGATCATGAAGACGGACCGACCGCCGAAGGAGTTCGCGCTGCCGATACTCTGCGACATGGCACACTCGGGAAGTAAAGGACGCCGATTTTTATGGCAGAATAAGGGGCTAGATTTCTATGTGTCGCTTCTGGGAGATCAATATTGGCAAGTCACTGCCCTAGACGCCATATTCGTCTGGTACGCATTGCCTATCAACGCTTTGACCGGGATGGTCTTGTTAACGTGTGAGCACCAGGTTGCAAGAAGAGACCGCCAAGGTGGAGAGCCACCTCCTAAACAACAATTTCACAGAGGCCATCCTGTCTTGCTTCCACACGCAAAAGATGAATGCGTTCGATCCCAATCTGCTAGAGCCATTGCTAAAGGTTCTTCGGCTGTCTCCATCCCTAGCGGCGTCACTGTCCAAGTCGGACATGTATTCGGGCATTGCCCAAAAGCTGTCGCACAAGAAAGCCGTCGTGCGGCTGAACTTACTCCGTCTTGTCCGAAATATCCTCGAGGCTGGAGATAACGGCTACCCTAGCACTACGAGGGATAGACATCTTCGAACACTGCTCGACGCCATCCGAATCCTCGCCGACAAGGATTCCGCCGTCCTAGTCCGAAACCTGGCGTCAGATCTTGTCGTTTCCTATATCGACGGCAACTCCGACCAGCTAACCGCTCCACTATCGGCAACGTCAACCTCGTCAACGGGATCCAATCGTGTTCGATCTGGGAGACGCATCTATACTCCACCTTCGCTCCAGCCCGCTACATCCGTACCTCATACGCCAACACACGCGTCTCGCGCGTCGCAATCTTCAGCATATATCGAGGTAGCAGCGAGCCCCAAACGCTCGGTAGTTTCTCTCGCACAAGAGCGCGACGCCGCCTCGTTCCGTCCTAGAAGCAAGGACGGCTCAGTTCTGCCCGTCACGTCTACCCCCCGTCGGGCAAGCAACGAGGTTCAGTCGGGAAGTATTCCGACGGCGGGTAAGAGTAGGCTACCGAGGAACTCGGGCCTTTACACTTCGCGACCTGTCCTTGGGGTTTCTACAGGTTCCCGTAGCGAAAGCACGGCGTCAAATAAGGAGAATATGGTTGGAGAGGACCTGAGCCGGTACTCTTCGGGCCGGCCGTCCCCGACGGACTCTGGTATCGTTGCTACGAGTGGTTCCACGTCCTCCGTATCGGGGAGGCGGAGGGGGAGTCGGGCGCCGAGTGACGGAAAGCAGAAGTGGAGCGTATAAAGCGTAGAGAGCCCTTGGCGTGGTGGTCTAGTGTTCGACACAAAAACGGCGACGGCATATTCCGAATTACGGGGAAGAGAGGGGCGAGTTCGGACCGGCCGACCGAGTTCGCTGTAAAAAAAGAAGAAGAGAGAAAAGGAAGATGTAATGTAGCCTTCCAGCACGAAACGGCGAACGGCTTGTTTATGGTTCTCCCTGGCTGTCTATGCGTGTACTTATGTTGGGGTAAAAGTGACGGAGGAGGGATGGTGTAAACCGACTTTTGCGTGTCTGCCAAGGGAAGAATAATATTTGCCTCTTGTCCAACTGGTTTCCCTCTTCCCCTTTCTTTCTCTTCCTTTCTTGTCTCTCTTTTCGAAAAAAGAGGTTGGCCTAACTGGTTTTTCAACGACCGCTACTACTACTACTAGGATCGGGGAGTTGGGTTTGTCCGGTGTAGTATGGTCTGCATAATGGCTGGTCGTTGTCGCTTTTACTGATGTTGGCGATGCTGTTATCTGGGCAGTCTGTGCGGAGGTTGGGTAGGTAGGTATACAGGGGAATACGAGGACGACGAATGGATGCATGATTGGCGTAGCAATGCCAACAATAAGAGCACAGGCGGAGTGGCAGCAGAGGAGTAAGCATGTAAGTAGGCAGGTAGGCAGGTAGGCAGGTAGGCAGGTAGGCAGGTAGTAGATGTGTCGTCGTCGACGGTGGTGCTTGTAGTATCTTCTTACTTGCCTCCACCCGCGTGACTTGCCCGCGTAGGCAGCACGCGCGCTTCTTACTCTGGGACAGGCCAGAGTATTGCTACTTGAGGCGCTCACGTCGCCATTCCCTCTTCTTCTCCCGCGACCGAGTCCCGGCCGGCCTCGATGGCGAGAGTCAGTAGGAGGGCCGCCGGCGCTCGGTGAGGGTGCGTACGGAGGAGGTGAGAGAGAGGAGAGGCAGGTAAGTAACAAACATGCCTAAGTAGAGAAAGGCCGCGGTGTGCGTGCGTGTATGGGTGGTGCGTTGCTTGGCGCCTCTGTCGCTACCGCTCACGCGCACGAGAGATGCTAACCAGGCTTTGCTTCGACCCAAGGTTCTCTCTCTCTTTCTCTCTCTCTTCTCCTCGGCCCCAACTCGGCCACCTCGGTGTCTGCCTCCTGCCCACGCAGGCGCTTCTCGCCTGTGTCCTACGCTTCCCAGGCGGGCAGGTCCACCGTGCAGGCCCTGCGCGACGATCGACCGCCGGGACTCTCCTCCTCCCCCCCCCCCTGCCTACGTACGCCCCGCGACGCCGCGGCGCGCGCTGCTTGCGTGCCTACATACCTGCGCGACGTCTGTGTGTCCGCGTGCTGCGCGTTGCTCATCTGCCTACATGTCTCCGTAACGTCTGTGTGTCTGCGTGCTACGCGCGGGCGCATGCAGGGACGGCCCGCAGGGCGTCTGCCGCGCGCGGCTGGCTGGCTGGCGGGCGGGTGAAGACGGGGGGCGAGAGGAGAGGGGGGGGGCAGGCAAGGGAGCTCACCTAGGCAGGACACGGACGGACGGACTGGAGAGAGAGAGAGAGAGAGAGAGAGTCGTTTCCCAGCCCGTCCGCCTGCTACGCTGCTATCTCTGCCTGTCCCCTGTCTTGTCTGTCTCGCCACCATCTCCTTATCTGCCGGCCGCCCGCCGTTGCAGCGGTCGAGGATCTGCAAAAAGGGGGCACGTCTTAGCTGGACGGGCGCGCGGTAGGGGGGGGGAGGAAAGGGAAGGTAATCTCCTGACGTTGATAGGTCCGCGTCCCAACCCGCTTGCTTCCGCCGCTACCCAACTCCCACGCTCCCTCCTCTACCCCTGCTGCTGGGCACGTAGCAGCGGCCGCGGCCGCAGTCGTGGTGCCAGCTAGCTGTCGCCTGTGTATGCTGCTGCTCGTCAACGTCATCCGACGACGACGGCGAGGCCCGCACCCGCGCGCCGTCGGCGACGACCCCGCGGTTGGGTTCTCTGGGTGTTGCGACCTAACTTTTCTGCGGTCCTACACCGCACGTGAAAGGCTACTGCGCTGGGGTTCTACGCCGGGGGGGGGGGTGTAGGTGAGCCGTGGGAATAAGGCGCCAGGCCCCCCCGCGATAGCTTCTTCTTCTTCTTCTTCTTCTTCTCACCGGCGAGCCCGACCGCGTGTATAGGCTACCTACTTCCAGCGCAGAGGCGCGGGCTTCTCACGGGGGTGGGGATGTCCCGCCTACTAGCACAGACTTACGTACGCGTCTTTCCTATCTGGCTTCATCTGGGCCCCTTGTCCTGCTGCTGCTTCGTCACTAGGTACGTAACGGGGGTTGGGAGATGAGGGCATCATCTTGGCTACCTGCCTGGCCCTAGCCAGCACTGGCATCGACGATTTGGCGGAGAGGCCCGCGAGGGGGGGGAAACGGCGGTCAAGCTGGACCTACGCGGAGAATTCTGCGCGAGCGGCAGTGCTGGCGACGGTCTGGTCGATCTCGACTGGGGATGCCTTACTACGAGATGTGCGGGACGGCCAGCTCTGGCTCCTCCTGCCCGATCCCACATGCGTGTGGCCCAATCCAGCAGGGCGCTACCGGCCGCAGCGCTGGAGCCCTCGGCGCCGACACTTCCAATCATGAGTGCGGACCCCCTCTCTCCTCCCTTTCGCCGGGGCAGGGTGGGTTGGGGGAGATACAGACGGACTGGGCTGTCGGCGAAGGGAGAGAGAGAGGTGTACGAGCGAGCTCGCCTTCACTCACGACCTCGGCGCCCTCTCTCATTGGGCTCGCCTCCCTCGTTGGGCTCGGTGACGGCGCGAGCTCGCATCATGCGTGTGAAAGTTTTGGCATCGCTACCGGCGAGGCTTGATTTGAGGAATATCCCACACCGCGCGCGGCACTCCAAGACACTGGGGCTTGGCCCCCACCCGAATCCAGTCCTGGTCCCCCGGGACCGCCTGGTTATCCCTGGAGCCGCGACGACGACCGGGGTTAGCGATTTGTTTTTCCCACCTGTAGATCCGGGGTCAAGGTGTGGTTCAGGATCCGGCGTTTCTCTCGCTCCGTCTGTCTGAGTCGTTACGGGAAATACAGGATGGGAGGGGAAAATAAAAGAGCAGCAGCAGCATCGCACACCGATACCGTTTTCAGCAGGGGAGGGGGGGGTTGCTTCGCCCGCTCGCGCCAGCAGACGGGCTATTAAGGACCGACCGTACAAACCTGGCCCAGCCAAAATTATATAACTCGTCGTCTTATACGGGCGGCCTATGGCAGCGGCGGATGTTATCGTCTCTGGATCGGACGACAGGGGGGTCCCCGTAGCCTCGCTCGACAGGTTTCCATGATCCGCGACGTGCATCTTTGCTACCCACATATGAGAGTGTCCTTTTTTTTTCTCCCCCTCCGCCCCGTCTGCACGTCGACGAAAGAGATCGTCGACGAACATGTCTGTGGGTTCGAGAGCCTCCCCATATATGCAGCGGGACCCAGAGCAACCTGGGTCCTGCACCGCGCCATCATAGGTATATGAGTCAACTCGAGTGCCAGGCCGGTAAAGCGGCGTCCGGGGGGAGAGTAGCAGGGGGCAGGGGGCGGGGGGAGGGGGAGAATTTGGTAACAACAACAAATTTTGAATCGCCGACAGGGCCCCGATATAGGGTACCTAGCAGGTCGTTCATTTGGCTCGCGACGCGTACGTCGGCGTCGGGCGCGTGGGCGCGCGCGGGGAGGAGGCCTCGCGCGCCGAGCAGACGGGCGCAGCGACAGAGAGCCCAGACGGATTGAGAGAACGCGAAAGAAAAAAAAAAAAAGAGAAATTACGAGTGTGCAGCGGAGTGTTAGCGAGAAAGGCACCCCGTCGAACGGGCCAGAGAAGGCCTGATTATGGCGCAAAGCCGGGGGTGGTGTTCGCTCATCGACGCCCGGATGGCCGCTGGTACGTGAACGGAAGGTGAGCGTCCGTCGATAGGGACCGGGCAGCGGGCGGGCGCCAGCCGATGGGACCTTTCCAATCGGGCGTATCTGCGGCGCAGCTATTATTATCGCCGTGCGTCGAGCGAAGTTTCATCGATGCGTCCTTCAGCTCCCTCTCTCGATCCCTCTATCTCTATCTCTATCTCCGTGTGTGTACCTATGTCGTCCGCGTGTGTGGTGTGTCTGTCTCCGTCACTCACTCACTCTCTTCTCCGTTCGTCGCCATCGTGACGTGCAGAGGTAGGATGTGTAGCCGTGATCTCGCTTGCTCTGCCACCCCGCCAACCAGATAACGCGGCGGCAGTTATAATGACGCCGTTATAGCTGTAGGATCCAACCACAACTGTCTTACCCCAAGAGGTCCCACGTGAACATCGCAGCTAGTATTGGTTCGACCCAAAGTCTAGGCCAGCCTGGGAATGTTACCAGTGAAAGGAAGAAGGTGATATAGTGGTGATGAAGTTAGACACGAGGGAGACTGAGACAGACAAGACAGAGGCCTCGGCCGATCATGAGCACGCCCAGCTTCCCAGATTCGAGCCCCGCCCTCGTCGACGGGGCTCCTGCAAGCTAATGTCGCAATGCTTGAACGGTAGGGGGCCATGCATGCCGGTTCCTTGGTTGATGGACAGACACGGCGATGCCCGACTGAAAGTTCCGACTGGGGGAGGGAGGGGGGAGATTCCAAATCCCCCTCGAAATGCAGAAGCAGATTCGACATCAGGTTGGATAGTTGTTATTATTATAGGCGCATAGCGTACACATAGTCGAGCGAATGACAACCATACGTAGAATGCCCCTGCTCGTGTCAAGTATCTACACCACGAAGAGGCAGCTCCCGTTTTCAGACGCCGTTGCTACCTCTTCCCCCCTCCCCGGTCCCGTATCGAGATAGCTTCACACTCCTCGGAGGTGAGTAGCCGAATCGGGACGCCTCCGTCCGGCCTTGTTACATCTGTTCTCCTTCCCGTATGATCTAGCGGCATCCGGAGGAATAAACGGATGGGAAACGGAGGCGCATGAAATAGTAAACACAAACAGCAAAAAAAAATTAAAACCGCCCAATCACGACGTCGCCTAGGCCACCGGCTGCCACAGCCAGAGCACCTTGACGTGCCCCTCTGGTACTGACGGCTGGGACCCTCCCCATAGAAACTCCCAGACCGGGTTCGCCTCAGCGCTCGAGCTCGGCAGGTCCTTGATGTCGTAGTAGCAGCGGATATCACCGTGGCACAGGAACGGGTGCGCAAATCCCTAAAAGCGGCAGTTAGTGAGCTGGGGGCTGGCCGCGGCGAAAGGAAGATCCCGAAAGAGCATGTGCTTCGACAGCTTCCACTCCGACTTTCCCGATCCGTGCTCTCAAGGGTTTCTCTCTCTCTCTCTCTCTGCTCCACCTCTTTCCTTATCCGGACATGCCGAGGCTATGTGGGGAAACACGTAGCAGCTGAGAGAGAGAAGAGAGAGAGAGAGAAGGATGGGGGGGGGGGGCGAAAAACAGGCGGGGGACTGTAGACAGACGAGACGAAATAGAGAAGAGGCGAGTAACAGTAGCACATACCTTAACGGTGTAGAACGAGTCGTACACCGTAGCCGCGTAGTCTGGAGTGCAGTGCCAGGCGTAGGACCGGGAGCCGTATTGACTGTCGGAGTTGGTGGGCTGCGAGGAGTCGCGGAACGTGCAGTTGCCGTCGGCGCTGACGATGGCCGTTGTCGCCTTGCGGAAGACGGCGCAGCCGTCGGGCGCCGCCGTCAGCCCTCCGGCTGCGTTGAGGCACCCGATGGTGTCCGCCGCCGTCGCCGACGCGAAGTCGGTGCTGTTCAGCACCGCGATATGGCCTTGCCCCTCGAAGACCTGGGCCGCCGTGCCGCCAGCCGAGGCGAGGAGGAGGAGCGCGGTCCCGAGGGTAAAGACGTTGGGGTACTGCATCTTCGTTGAGAGGGTTTCTGTTCCCTTTTTTTGTAACTAACTCCCTATCGGGTTTGGTTTAGGTTGGCGTGGCCCGGAGGTGGTGTGGAGGGACAAGTGATATGCTCGTCTAAGTGCAAAAAGGCGCGCGAGGATTGCGGGTGTATGTCGTTGGACGATCGTCGGTGCTGCCCTTGGCACGATATATATACCTATATATTGGTACTCGTCTAGTTGCACGTACGTTTATATATACCCCTGGCGCCTATACCAGCCCCCGGGCACCTTACCATACACGCCTGCTGGGGGCCGAGGGGAAAGAGGCAGGGGAGGGGAGCAACATCTAGAACGCGGGTAAAATCGTAGAGGATCGATTGAGAGTTGCGGTTTAACCGTTCATCATACCACATTCCATCACCGTCTGCCTGCGCCCACGTCGCATCCGGCTTCGAAGGGGAAAAAAAGAATCAGGAAGGAATACCGCTGGACCCGGTGTCTCAGCGGCATGTGAGCGGAGTGTAAGCCGTTATTAATGGGCGGGCAGGGGGCCCCAGCCTAGTATGCCGTCACTTGAGGACCCGGGCCAGCGTCGTCGACCGTTCTCGCGACGCATCCCACATCAAGCCGATGCGATGCACAGAGTCGTCGGCAATACGACGATGCGACGACATGTGGGATGCTCCCACACATGCATCGGGAATAAAAGCGCCACTCCCCTGTCAGGGCCCCCCCGTACAGCCTCAAGTTTCTCGAGAAACCAAACCAAACCAAACTAGAACTTCTCTGCCCGCTCCCTCCCTCCGCCCCCTCCGCGATTTAGGGTGCTGACAGGAGGAGGGGAGCAGGACGAAGAGGGGGAGGAGCACCAAGGGAGGGGCCCTCGCAGATTATCAACTAGGGTCCGCTCGCTCGCCCACCCGGTTGCTCGGCTTACAAACGATTTCGCACCTCACGATGGGTCGCTTAGCTGACGTGGATGTCGCCAACGCCTCCGTGCTTACACAATCGCATCGTAACCCCAAAGCCCAATCGACCAATTGGGGCTGGACTAGCAACTCCGTACCGCCGCCGTCTCACGCCTCGAGATACTCCGCACCGGGCGCCTGGCGATAGAAACGGCATAGCGCCTGTCAGAGGGACGAGAGAAGTGCCTCTCGCCTCAAGGACGCCTAGCAGACCGCCTCTTCGTACCTATACCTACGGCAGCTCTCCGGCGGTTAGCTCTCTGTCTGTCTAGGGTCGAGCGGTTGGCTGTGTGTCTTGCATCCCGTGCAGCTGAGCTTGTCAGGTCCGAGTCTAGGCTGGCGGCCGACGCAGGGCGCCCGCTGCGGTTACACGCGTTGTCTACGTCGCCCCGGCGAGGCCTCCTTCGTCTCCCATGACTCGATCCGTTACACAGGAACCCGCTTCGAAGCCGGATTCATCGCCGTCTTACCGCATACGTAGATTGACACCCCCGGGGCAACTTTCCTAACTCGGCCCTCGCAATCTTCGTTTTCGGCCCATCCCGTCAGGCGTCGCGGAGAAATAAGCGTCGGCGGGGAGGTGAATCGGCCCTCGTCGGGTGTCCCTCGTACAACCCGGCCGTTCCACCCTGTGGCTTAGTTGGGATACCCAACCTACATCTCATCGTCCCATAACTCCCATTACTAACCGCCGTGTAAGACCTTTGCAACCACGTTACAGGTCTCCAAACTGCAACGTCTTGCGTACCGTTGTCAATTGGACGATGGTATCCGTAGCTGAACCGGACCGGGTAAACTCGAGGGCGTACGAAAGCACCTTTATCCAGATGCTAAGCTCTAGGTTATGCCTACACACAGGAGCACAAGGATTGGGGTCGGCGATTTGCCAGAGGGTAGAAAGAGCCTAGGGGCGCCGTAGTGGTAACTCTGATCCCATCCCATCTGCAAACCGGCGCCGAGATGTCTACTAGGGGATGCGGCCTAGCCATTGGAAATGTCGTGAGGGGAGATCCTCCCGGCCCAGCACTTCCGTTCCCACATCCACTTCGTCCGACTCCCCTTCGCTCCACCTTTATCCCGAGACTGTCTTGTATGAGTCTCTCTTTCTTCGACTTCGCCTGGTCCTCTCTGCGTGACGACCCTGTCCCTAGTGACGCTCACATACGCGTCACGTCCGGATCGATACTAGTTCCTGCTCCCTGCCCCCACTATGCGGGCTATGGTTGAATGCTGACTATATAAGCCAAGTGCGCTTAGCTCTGTTATGCACGGGTGCTTCAAAGCCGGTTTGATCAGGTTATATCTCGGCCTCGTTGACCCAAGACTGCGATGTCATATCGTATAGGAACCTTCTCGCAATCACTTCCCATTTGCCGTCCTCTAGCCTTCGTCTGCACCTCATCGTGGCCTTCGCCGCATAATCCTCCGGCAGCTCCACCTCGACGTCGTGCAGCCTATACGATTCGGGAAGCGTCGGCGGTTGGGCGTTGCCATGCTCGTCGGTGGTGGTACCGGGTTCTTCTCCGCGGGTGGCTGTGTAGGGGACGTCGTAGAAGCCCCCTTCTTCTATCTTGACTACCTCCCTAGCAACGGACCCCATCAGAGAGCCGTTCCATATCCCCTCTTTGTGCTCCAATCCGTCTAGGATCCTGATGGCCTTGTTCCTGGTCCGACGAGTGCGACACTTGAGGGCTGTGTAGTACACTACCGGGTGAGCGCCTAGGTCCATGATCGAGCCCGACATATTGGGGGGGTGCAATATGGCGTATACTGCCGGCGACGCCGTGAGACTGCGTACACGCTCTAATGAACTCATCATAGAGGCAAAGGCTTCCGCGTGGGCGTCAAATCTCGACTCATTTGCCGAACGGATGCAGGTATCAGCCATTATCTCTGCTAAGGTATAGTACATGTGGAGCAGAGGATAGGCAACAATTTTCGCGCTTTTCTCTTGGACGTCCAGGTACACTTTGGAGGCCCTCAGCACTCGAAACCAGGCATCGAGACTGGATTTAACACGCTGCTGGCGGTTGAGGAGTTTGGTAGCCTGTACTTGGTCCTGGGATTGTGAATGGCGACGGGACTCGTCGCCGAGGTGGAGTATCTGGCTCAGCAGCCGATCGAGGTGCTGTCTCGCCTCATCAACAGTCCGGAATACGGTACCGATAGCTGGGGAATCCTTCGCGCAATCGTCAAGCACTATATGCAAGCGCTGCGAGCCACATCCCAGGAGTTTTGCCTGCACATCGAGTCGCACAAAAGCCTGGAGAATCCAGGCGTCGGCTGAATTGTTGACGGCGCTCGGCCGAGCGTGAACCTCGTTCAAGAGTTTCAACCCGTTCTGAAGGTGAGTAGCGCCGATCCGATAGTGGCCTCGGAGATACTCCATGATGACGAATATTAGGCAGGTGAGAAGGGCGATGCGCACTGACGCGTTGTTCTTTATTGAGAAATGTGGCTGGAGATGCGCTATGGCTCGGCTGTAGTGGTGCAATACGAATTTTTCCTGCTCGTCCGGGGCGTGTTCTACCGCCAAAACGTTGACAGGGAAGTATTCCCTCCTATGCGCCGAGCTCAGGGCGAGCGCAGCGTGGAAGACAGCTGGCTCGGCGGAGATGGCTTGGAAGATGAGGGCATCCCAAATTCCGGACCGGAAGGCGCCTGGAAGCTTCATGGCGGTTCGGTGGGTAAACCACTCGAGGCATCGGGTCTCCTCCTTGCTCACTGTGTCGGCAAGCATCACCGGCACACGCGGGCGTGCTAGGATATCACGACGCGAGGGAGCAGCCGAACGATGGCCGTATTGGTTGCCTCCTCCGCCCCATATCCCATAGCCCTCGCACACACGACCCGTAGAGAGGCATCGGGAACAGACAGGGTGGCCTTCGTCGCACTTCACCTTCCGGGCCCTGTCGACGGGTGATGCCTCGATTAACAGCTGTGCCAACAGGAGAGCCAGGTACGTGGACTGTAAGTAACTTACTTGCAAGTGAGGCAGCCGGATTTGACCTTGGTTCTACATCGAGGCTTCATCGGGGGGTGTTGTCATTTAATGCGATGTACGATCGCTTGCGATGATGGCCACGGCAAACCCGGTAATCAGCTGTATTGAAAGAGGACACGTAAAGAGGCGCCGAAGTACTACGGTACCTTGAGACACTGACATTATGTGGCTTAGCGCAGTGTAGCCCGGGATAGGTGCCTCTTGAGAGACTGAATAACGACCCTAGGTACCGATCTTAGTAGTCAGGTACCTGTATTTCAAATGCGTCCCTGGATACAGACAAGCATACGTAAGCTTTGGCCTCTTGTCGCCGTTATCTCCAAGCAGGTATGTATAGCACGGTATCAACAATCTTACACTACCAAAAAGTCTCACAGCTTCTCTTCAACCTACTTTAGTTATATATATATATAGATGTGCATATTCAAGTAAGGAAATGCAGGCTTCTAGATTTCTATGTGATGATACCTTAAATGAGAATAGCTTAATGTGCCTACGAGCCCATACAGTAACGGAATTCTTTAAAGCTAGTGGGTAATAAGTGTATTCACGTAAACGAAGACCGACTTTTACCTGTTAAAAAGGTAAGAGGGCGGTCGACTCAGTTGTCGCGGGGCCGCCGTTTATATAGGTAGGTAGGTAGGTACCTCGAAAAGAGGGGTAAGTTAGACGAGGGGTAGGACTTCCCCACTTTGGAAGTCTCAAAGTATATCCCAGAGTATCCCTATACTTAAGTACCTCCATACCTGTCGCGTACCTCGCTGTCGCGACTTTACACATTAGGTACCTATTTTAGCACTTAATATACCTGTAAATCAGAATTATTAGACGCGAGACCTTATTACGTTGTAAGGTTCCCTTCATCAAAAGTAATGCCTGCGCTATTGGTCGTTTAAAATTACCTATGCGCACCCCCTTTTCCTGGACCTTCGGAGAGGTACCCATGTATCTACCCATACAGCAAAAACGTACGGAGAAGCGCAGAGCGCAGCGAAGTTGCTTCGACGCATATCAGAGGTGGTAAGTAGGTGTATCCCATCAATGGTAAACCTACTTCTACGCCCCAGCCGCTTTTCCATTTACGAAAATCGATTTTTCGGTTGCGAGAATCGGTTTGTCGGATTCGCATTAACGGTAAGTGCCCATCTTAGATTGCGACTCCATGTTCTTCTTTTCCTTACTTTCGCGATTCGTCGCGGCGTGTGGCGATAAGGCAGAGATCGGCTGATCAACGTTCTAAGCGGCCATAGGCAGCTTCGGGCACCCAATCCCGTAGTCCTGATTCCTGTCTTGTCGCCTACGAGCCGCCTTCGATATACACTTCCCTCTAGTCGGCGATTGAATTTTCTACTTGAGTGCACGCAGGTAGACCGTTTGGAGCCAACGGGACTGACTTCTCCTAGATTTGCGTTAAATGTGGTGTGCAATCATGCCCTAACCGTATTTTGAAATACCCGTGTTCTGAGAAATTTCCCCCTTTCTTCTTCCCTTCTCTATTACTTGACACTACATCCTACGGAAGCCTTGTTCGGGAAGAGCGACAACACAGCGCCAACCATGGTGATGTCACCTAGTTCTGTCACCTCGGGGACTTCTAGGGCCTCCAGGGTCTCCAAGAATTCGGAGGCAAGCTCGGTCCATGGCTGCCATCGCACTCCAAATTCGTTGGTTTGGAAAGGAGTGATGGCAAGGCATTTGAAATCAAGCACCAGATTCTCCTGGGATACGTCCCAGACAGCACGGTTCAAAGATTTCCTCATGACTGTCGGGGCCGGCTTTAAGAATGTTGACACAAGCAGCTTGCTGTGCCAGCTAAATCTAGACGGATACGAAGAGATCAGCAACGAGGACGGAGAAAGCGTCCATTTCATCATAGAGCAAAAGGTTCAGCGCAAGTTGGGAAGCGTAGCTAACCAGATTGGTTATGAAACCCTGGAAGAAGCTAGTCTTCGGTGAGTGTGCCGCTTCAAGTTCATTCCTAGAAGTTGTATTAAGAGTCTTACCCCTTCAGACGCCTGCGGGCTACCCAGAGACCAACAAGGGGAGACGACAACAGTACCCTTAGTTATTCGGAGCCGGCAGTCCAGCAGAAGACCCGCGAGAAAGATTTAAGTGTCGCGCCTAAGCCTACGGACACAGGGCACCTAACCTCCCAAGAAACTGCACGTTTGTTCCCCGATGTAAACTTCGAGTTCGATTTCAGTCCGCACCAACGGCGTGGCGGCCGGCGAGTTCCGGCGGTGGCTCCTACGAAAGGTTCCGCGCTGAGCTCGAGCGCAACTACCAAAGGGGGCGAATCGGTGGGCCCTGTTCCGGGAGATGAGAAGAAGTTCACGCCGCCGAGTCACCCACGTCTGAAGATGCCCCAGAAGGAGACGACAAAACTCGCCGAGCCGAGTTCTAGCACTACAAGTAAACGGTCGGAATCACTACCCACTGTTCCGGGACCACCCCAGCCTCCGCGGGATATAAGCCCCGAGAAACCCGTGCCAGTGGTCCAGCTCACGAGCCCAGCGACGCGGTTGGCCGCGTCGTACGCCTCGCCGGCGGCGGCGGCGGAGTACAAAGAGGCTCGCCAGGCGGTGCGGCGCTTCGCGCAGCCAGTTTCTGCCCTCGAGGCCGAGCTTCAAAGCGTTGAAGCCTGCTTCCGAAGTTTGTCATTAAGCCCGGCGGATTGGGAGACTATAGCCGATGTCGTGGACGAGCTCCACACGACAATTTGCAACATCAGGAATCAGTCTGAGTTCCTCCAGGAGCTGACTATAGGCCTCACCAGCTCGGAAACGCATATAGATCGCTAAGGTCAGTACTCGCCGTTCCTCGTCGCTAGAAATATGACGTGCTAAGGATGGCTAGTAACGCGATGCACATCTGGTTCGATGCCTCGCCCTCTCGGGCCTCTGTATTTTTTCGGTTTCGTTCCCTCCTTGCCCATCGATGTCCAGTTAGATTTCTATGCCAGATGCCAGGTTTTAACGGGATTTTGCTACAGTCGATCTTTTACTTTCGGGAACCATGTCGGATTACCATAATCAGTTTTGCTCGCGGACTGAGACCGCTTATCAGTTTTATTGCCAGTAATTCAGTTTCGTTCCTAATGCCTTCCTTAGCTGGGGGGTATCGTTCACGGTTACTGATAATATTGTTATCCCGAAAGACATCGGTAATGTGGCAAGCAAAAGCCTGGGGAAAATTTTGAGTACCTAATATAATCAAGTTACCTACACAATATTCACGGCCGTCGCTGCGTCACGTTCAACTTGAACTATCAGTTCGTTATGACGTAGGTAGGTTATGGTGATGAGTCAACGGCTCGCTAGTATCGGCCCCAGATGGACTTTCCGCAAGGAAGGTACGGCAGCTTAGCGTGTTCGGCGACCGCGACCGGTAAAAGCTTAATCCCACCGCGTGTTTGCCCCTACAGAAGCGGAAGTCGCCGGTCAGCTAGCAAGGACCTTTCTCAGGAAGGGGCGGTGGGCACAGGATGCCGCTGCCCATCGGTGCCTCAGGCAAGTTATTTCCTACCGGCATCTTGATTCTCTCCGGCATTACGAGACCCCGACTAGGTTCCCCAGCAGGCCCCAACAGTGCCTTATTCTCCTCTTCCTCACGCCTATCGCCTACCGCATCACGATACCGCGCACAGAGGCCGCCCCGACCGAGACGCCCTCCACTTGCTCGTAAACGCAGAGACACCAGCAGCATCCCATAGCCACAGATAAAACCACCCATCGCACGTCTTGATCCTCTAGTTCTAGCACGGTTAACAGCCCAAACCAACTTCGACCAAAGAGAGGAACTTTGAGCCCCAATATTGGGGAGAAAGGAATCTCGATGCCAATACAGGCATGTGTGCCGTGCTATTCCTGCAGGAAGCACGGCTTCCATTTCAATCCTGCTCCGGCTGGCGTGCCACGCAAACAATATAGGTGGCATTTGTGATGGGCCATCGACAAGGTATTATATGACTCCTTCTAGCCTGCTTCAATGTGACATCTAGGTAAGTATGGTCTCTCCGTCACTCTAGTCGGCTTATTGCGCAACGTCACCACCACCAGCCTCTCCCTCTGGCAGGTTAAGCCAACAAGACATCTCTTCCCTGCGGCAACGCCTGGCGGATCGCTGCCCGACCGATTGTCCGTCATCTACCTGCGACCGGGAGGGGTGAGGCCGACGGCTAGTCCCCTAGGCTGTAGCCTGTGCCGATCAGAAGGCTCGCTGCGACCTCAAGCGGACAAGTAACCAGCTACCTTTGGCGGCCCAGGAGCAGGAACGTCGACGCTAAGATAAAGGATATATCGTTGCGATGAATGAACGTCGTTAGCCACCATAGGGATTCAGAACCCCCCCCCCCTCCTCCTCCTCTTAGAGAAGCGATGGATATGTAAGGGCCCAGCGGAGGGCAGGTATATCGAGGAATGACTCCCGCTGCGGCCTGCGGGCACGTCGTGCAGGCTTTCTTGGCCTCCGCGAACACGGCCACGAAATCTAATGTCTCATCCCCGTGGTGCAGCCACCACTGCTGCTTTCCGCTGGAGGGGAGGAGTCATCGCGGCAGCAGATGTATACGTGCGATAAGTATGGATTTTCAAGGTATGTATGCCCAGATGATATGCCAATGAAGAGCCTTCGAGGTCTCAGCGAGAACAACAGCCTGAGTTTGTGTGCGTTTGTACCTACGTGGCAGCGTTCCATTATTTGGGTACTGACGCTTCTGATGACACCAGAATCCTCCGTACCCTCGTCTTATCTCGGCTCTGTCTCATGCAGCGTTATTTCTATGAAAAGTTCGCTGCTACTGTTCGATTCGGCGCCATAGAATGTTGTAGGGCCTTCGCCAGCTACGAAGCCCCTGAGGGCGGTTCTCGAGGGCAGAATCTCGGTGTTACTTGACGACTCTGAAATCTACCGACTGTTACGTTGCCCTTCGTTCGTGACCGAATAACCCTTCCCCCCTCTCATTACTTCACGTATGCGACCGTTGTAGTCGCAGAAGAGAAGGAAAAGAAGAAGGAAGGAATAGAATAACGAAGAGAGGCAAGCTACTACATGTCCGAAGCATTGAGATACTCTCAATCTACAAACTGTATGTATTTCAATGCACGCTTAAAATCGCCACAGCGCACTGCTAGACAACCCGCGACATGGAGCATCGTGGTATTAATAATACCTATTTCTACCTTCTACTCACCACGACCTGGTAACTATCGACGACCACAAGGGGGATCAGCTAATTTGGGCATCTGTACCTAGGTATCTAGCATACGGCTACAAACGTAGGTACAAAGGCATCTGGGTGCCGAGAAGAAGAACGGCAAGGGGAAGCCTAAGGCACCCATGTCCACGTGTTCGTCCCGTCAGGTCGGGTTCACAAGTCCTACACTTCCTATCCGCTCTGCTACCCGAACCACTTCGGCCATAAAAGTAGGAGCGCTCGCTAGAGGCACCGAAAGGGAGCGACATCAGACGACATTCCTTCTCTCCACGACGCTGGGGCCAATAGGAGCCTGTCGCAATGGCTAGGGGGTGACCGGGAAGTGTCTGGGGCGCACCCCGGGAGCAGGTCGTGTTTTCCACACAGAGTGGCCTGGGGATTTCCCGTTAGGCGAGAGAGAAGGCGTTGTACGTGGGAAGGGGGTGTTTTTTTCTTTTCTTTTTTCGCTACTACGTTCCCGTGGCATATAGGCAGGCGGGCAAGTCGCTATGTTGCGCCGACAAGCCTTTGCCGCCTACTGATACGTCGGCATGTCATGTAGGCAGAGCATTGTAGGCATGTACGAACGTGTGTGCAATAAAAAATTTTTGGGCCAGCATTGTCGGTCCTTTTGATGCTTCATACTTGGGTACCTTTAGACGTATACGACTAATAGACGCGAAAGTATGTGTGTGTACCGATATAGATAGAAACCCTAGTCCCGACGTGCCAATGGAACGACGCAGCCAGAGCGCTGGGATATCCAAGAGCTTACTTAGTAGATGCGATGAGAAAGGGTTGAACGACTCTAGGACATTAGGGCGCGTCGCCTAGGCTAGGAAGACCCTAGCCGCGTCAGACAATGCCATAGGTTTTCCAGCCTGGCGACACCGTGGCGGCGCTGTCAACGAAATATGGCTAAGAGCTAGGGCTCCCCCAGGTTCACAGACAACTGCTGGTTAGAGTGCCTAGACTGCCGAGCTTGGGGAAGAGGATTAGGCCGCAGGAGTTAATCCCTGCTCACATCTGCTTGGTGATGGGGGGGAACCTGGGTGCCATCACAGGCTCGTTTGCGGGGCTCGTGGTCGAAGATCCCCGAGGGAGAAGAGCTAAACCACCAGCCACCTAGGTAGACACCTATACCCTTACGTCGGTATATGTGTCCCTAGCTGCTAACTTACAACGCGTAGCAGCTGCCTCTCGCGTCTGTCAGGTCCTCAAGTCCCTACTGAGCTCTTCTCGAGAGCGAGAGGCAGAAAGAGCCTTCGGAACCCGCTACGAGACCCAAGAACAGGGTGCGACCGCCCAAAGATTTGCTGGCAGGGCTGGGGTGGGCAGTCTCCATGGGGTAGGAGTGTTGGGGGGCGACGGGGCCACCTAATCATGTCCTAGGTAGGTATGAATAGTCCGGGCCTTCGTTCCTTGGCATGTTCTGCAGATTGGAGCAAGGCGCTGCCGACGTCGCATGAGGATAGATTACCCGGTCGGCCTGCTGGCACGTTGGCGTAGCTCCCTCCCTGTCTTGTCTCACTCTCCTCCTCTCCCTCCGGCTGTCTCTGCGCGTGCCCCTTGCCTATAAGAAACACCGCGATCCTTTCCTCTTCGCGAGCCCAGGGTTCCTCAGCTCGTGCCGTCGGCGTGCCTGTCCTCGCTTGCCCGCCCCAGCGCATACACATAGGTAACTTCTCTCCGCCAACATGGCCACCGATCGCGCCTCGGACGACCTGTCCGCGAAGCCGGAGCTCGACGGGCAGCTGCGGCAGATCGAGACGGCCACTTCGGTCGACGATCCCGAATTCAAGCGGCGCGAGGCCCGCGTCGTCGCCAAGCTCGACATGTACATCTGCCCGATCCTCATCATCCTCCAGCTCGTGTCCTTCCTCGACCGCGGCAACATCGGCTTCGCCGCGACCCAGGGGATGATCGTCGACATCAACCTCGTCGGCACCCAGCTCAACACGGCCATCTCGCTCTTCTACCCGCTCTACATCTTGTCCGAATTCCCGGCAGCGCTGATCGTGAAGAGGGTGGGCTTTAACCGCGTCATTCCGTCGGCCGCGATGTGCTGGGGCCTGGTGTGCTTGGGAAACGGGTTCGTGAGGAATTTCGGGGACCTGGCGGCGTGCCGCCTGTTGATGGGCATGTTCGAAGGGTTCTTGATGCCTAGTCTCACGCTCATGCTGGCGAACTGGTATAAGAGAGACGAAATCGGCCTTCGGATCAGTTACCTCTTCAGTAAGAACGGCGAAAATGAGGCGGATAATATCTGTGGAGGTTCCATACGCTAATACGAATGTGTAGTCGCCGCGGCTATCTCCAGCGCATTTAGCGGTCTGATCGCGTTCGCTATCCTGTTTATGGACGGCACGGCAGGGTATCCGGGATGGCGATGGTAAGTCTCTGCATGCCAAATGAGCAAATCAGCCAGCAACATACTAAATTTGCGACGGCCAGGTTGTATATCATCGAGGGCGCCGTGACGATCGTTATCGCTGCTCTGTGTTACTTTGTCATCCCGACGTCGTACACCACGGCATACTTCCTTAACGAGGACGACCGGGCCATAATGAGGAAGCGCGCCGAGATCACGGAGGCGTACAGCGGAGGACGGGGACACTACACGCGCGCCGAATTCATGATGGCCGTCAAGGACGTCAAGACCTGGCTACACACCATCATCCAGGTCATGTGCCTCACCGTTATGTACGGCTTCAGCGTCTTCCTGCCCATCATCTTGCGCTTCGGCTTCAACTTCAGCGTCAAGGAGTCGCAGTATCTGAGCATCCCCGTCTTCTTCTGGGGCTCGATCGTCTACGCGATATGCGGGTACCTGTCGGACCGGTTCTCGCGGCGGTTCCTGGCCTGCATCCTGTGCGCGCCGCTCGGCGTGGTCGGCTACGCGATGCTCCTCGGCGGCAACCACCTCAGCGTCGGCGTCAAGTACTTCGCCTGCTTCCTGATCGCCACCTGCGTCTGGATGATGGGCGGCGCCAACGTGGCCTGGCTTTCGACCAACACCGCGCCCGACGGGAAGCGCGCAGCGAGTCTCGGCATGGCCCTGGCCGTGGGCAACCTCGGAGGCATCATCTCGGGCCAGATCTACCCGCAGACGATGGCCCCCGCGTACACTCTGGGACATGCCTGGAGTCTGGGCGCGATCGTCATCTCCTTCTGCTTGTGGTGGGTGGTCAGACACGTATACTACGCGCGGGAGGCGCTCAAGGGGCAGATGCGGGAGGGGGCCGTGCCCGAGCCGGAACTGTTCAACGACAGGGCGCCGAGCTACAAATACCAGCATTAATACCTACTTGGTTTTGCTGCAGTGGCGTCGCGCTGCACAGTTCAGCCTAGGACATCATCATCGGCATGGTTACTTACATGATGTTGCTTTAGCCTTATCCTCTATGAAATTCTAAAGAGTCCTCACAGACGCACTTTGCACACTTCGCCTACTCTGTGTCCCTCTGTAGACTTCCAGGATGTGGACGGTAGGATTCAAGAAAACGGCAGGCAAAGCAGTGGCGCGACCAATCCACAGTCGACTAACGGCTCGTGTAAAGTAATTATCACTGGTGGCGTTTAGTAATACGGCAGATAGCTAATCACGATACCATTAGCTTCGTCAGAGGAAAGCCACGAAGGCTTGGTAACATACTATCTATAACGAGGCTAACGAGGCTACTTGGATGGCGACCAACTCTTGTTGCACAATGTATCTACCCCTGCTTCCGGGGACGAGTAGCGGCTAACCCTGGTGTATCACAACTGTCCAGGGTTACCTATAAAGAGATTGTAAACCACCCACCTTGCCATATAGTACGGCACAGTATTAAGTTGCTGTGCTAGTCTTAATAAGCTGTTTAGCATTATTGAGACTTATAATAGACAGTCAAGCCTACAAGGTTGGGCGTCGTCTCGCATGTCAAAACTGAGTCTTTTGCTCTCGTAAAGAATGCTACCTGAGTCTTCGATTTTCTGCAATATTACCATCGTGATGGCATCCCTAAGCCGTGTAAGCGAACGCTGGAATGCTCCACATAGCTATTTTAAATTTTGAGCTATCAACAGACTTTGTAGATTAACGAGCCCTTGGGACCGGATTCATCACGTGAGGCTGCATATTCCGCTCTCGTGTATTGTATTGGCCCTCCAGTAATACGTCCCCAACTCATGGCCTGTATAGGGATAAGCGAGCGGTGGATCGTGCAGATCGCAGAGTGATGGATGTTGGATTGGCGCTGCATACTAGTTCCGAATCGGCCTTGCGTAGGAGGATGGGCGAATGTTCCGTGCTGCTGACGGTCCCCCCCCCCCCCCCCCAAATCTCCCAGGTTGTCATTCCTACTTGTATCGTACCTCCTCTCGCCCATCACTGCTCGCGATATTCCAAGCGGATAGATATCCAAGACTCTTAGATTGCTCAATGGCCTCGATTCCCACGCCTTCTCTCGTCGCCCAGGCTGCTGCGATTCTCGAGGCCGCGACCAGTCTCCAGCGTCAGCTTGAGCAGCACGGCCTGCAGCAGCCCTCGTTTGAGGCGGGGGGCCGCAAGGATTGGCACGATGCCATCGAGCACCCCGAGGTCTTGAGGGCCAGGTCCGCGCTAATAGACGCGAGTAACCTGATGCTGAACATGGCCCTAGGGCCCATGGACATCCTGTCTTCCCTCGTCGGCCCGGCCGTCAGCAAAGTCGACGTTTTCCGGACTCTCGACGCGCTAGGCGTGTCCGAGGCGGTCCCGCTGGACACTCCCATCAGCATAGACGACCTAGCGGCAAGAGTGGGGGCGAATCCGAGGCTGCTGCGGCAGCAGCTGAGGTTTGCCTATCTCATGGGCATTTTCTACGAACCTCGCGAAGGGTACGTCGCCCACACCTCCATCTCGGCTGCGATCCCGTCGCTGTCGGCCTGGACCCGGATGCGCTTGGGGTATCTGATGAGCAGCGGCGCGTGGAGGATACCGGAGGCGTTAAGGATCTGGCAAGATTCCCCTCCTCCTGGACACGTTCAAGTCCCCGTCTCCTTGGCCGATTCGAAGGGCCGGGACTTCTGGAGCGCTCTCCAAGAGGAGGACCCCGAAAATAGGGGTATGGAGAAATTCAGCTCGGCTATGAAGGCGCTCTTCGCCAGTCACTCGGGGAATTCGCTAGGGCCGTTCGTTACCGGCTTTGACTGGGCGGGTCTGGGCGATGGTCTGGTGGTCGACGTGGGAGGCGGCAACGGCCACATAGAAGTCAGTATCCTGAACGCGGTCCCCTCGGGCCTGAACTTTGTGATCCAGGACCAAGAAACGAACAGGGGTCTGGCGATCGAGAATATCAGGCAGCACGGGGCAGCAGATCGCATCCAATTCCAAGTCCACGACTTCTTCCATCCCCAACCACCGCACCTACGGCCCAAGGCCTACCTCCTGAGCCGGATATTGCACGACTGGCAGGACGGGGACTGCGTGAGGATACTCCGGAACCTCGTCCCCGGGATGGAGGAGCACGCCGCCCAGCTCTTCGTCATGGAGCGCGTCCTCCCCGACCGCAGCGGGGACATCCCGAACCACATGGAGCAGCTCATCAGGACGCAGGACTTGCTGATGTTCACGCTGTTCGGCGGGGGCGAGAGAAGCTTGCGTCAGTGGGAGGCTCTGTTCGAGAAGGCGGACCCGAGGCTGAAGATCACAGGGATACGCCACTCGCCATTGTCGCCGTTCTCGAGTATGCATATCACGTTGATGAAGGAAGGGGATGTGAAAGTGCGAGGTCGATTATAAAAACAGGGGAGCGAAGGAACGCACTGACGAGCGATGAAACATGTCTTTCAACCTTTCTCCAGCAACGACTAGATCTAGGTATATATAACATGGTGAAAATAGAGAGCGATGGATAGGTACCTAATATACTGCCAATCGGTTACAGTTGGCGGATATTGGTTGAGGGACAGTGCCTATAACGTTGTATAGGTAGATTCGCTTCGGCACGAGGCTTTCGTATAGACCTTTAGAATGAAACTCGGTCGCTCGCGGGTATATGCCGACCTCTTTAGCGGTTCCCCTTCCCCTATTTATGTATATCTGGGTAGGAAATAACGCGGTAATGACGAGTAGCACTTATGCGGGGTTCCACAGGGGTTGCCTACCTTTCTATGTCCCGAATTTGGCGAATGCTGGGAGACGACAGGCCGTACCACTCCGTGTTCCGGGGCGATGCCCGCACGCACTGGGTGCTTCAATGTAAGGCAGGACTAAGTGCGGATTCTCGGGGAGCCGGTCGAGTCGTTGGGAGTAGGGTTGATAGAGTTGTACCTGAGCAAAGGTGAGAGTCGCCACGAAGACACGCCAGCCGAGTAGACTACTAATAGGACGGAAGCAGAAACGAGATGTCGCCCAGTTCACGTGCGTTGCCCCCTCTCCCCCTTTATTTAAGCGGGCAGGCATATTAGATATGGGGCCAGGTGAGGGCGCACCCTCAGGAACCGGGGCGCATGCGTGTAACAGGTAAGCGGTCGCGTCTATAAGTACCCAGACCCTCCCCCAAGCCACTCGGGGGAACCTTCCGGTGCCTTATACACTCGAAATCGCGAAGTTGACGGCGGCCATCCCGGTGATGTGGGGCGGAGACTTGATTACACGCCCGGATACGTTATTACACCGGATTACAAAGCAAAGCAGACTAGCACTAGGTGCGGCGGAACAGATACGACGAGACCGCGTGGGCACGGTGGGAAGGGAAACGGCTTGCTACAGAATCGAGTCGCGCTAGATGCAAACCCAAGTAATGGAGTCGGCTGACCTAACGGTCTTGGACGGATCGCGCGGATCTAGAAATGGATCCCCTCCCAGTTATGACGCTATTCACCTCCGCCGCTAGTCCCGGTGGAAATGCTAATCACTAATCACAAATGACAACCTCAGATCTAGTCCGAGCGGTCCCGTGGGACGATACACAGGCACTGTTAGAACTGTCGAGGTGTCTAGTGTTCGATATCGACGAAGCGGTTCTTGGTCTTGTGTCCCCCCTTGAGCCGATTCTACTCTTGACAACGGTCAGACTAAATCGTTCTTGTCTGACGAGCCAAGTAGTAGTTCTGTGGCATCCCCAAACTAGCGACGTCCATGAGGCAAACGCCTAGGTTGCGAACAAATCTCAGATAGTATTAAGTATAGCATTCACTTCAGGCAGCTAGCGTTGCCTTGACCCCCCCCTCCGGTAAATTGGGATCTCCGAGATATCTTTTCGAGCATTCCTCCTTATCTTCGATCCTAGTATCTATTTCAGTCCAATGCTGGTTCTGGTAGGGGATCCTACTTACACCTACGTGTATAAGCCTGTACTAGCGCCCGAGGGAACTCCCACGCAATAGGCGACGGGGCAGATGGCAAGGAGATCCCAGTCGTAGGAATATTATCATGTCGAATTTCCGTTCCGACATCGGAGCATGGGAATGACAAGAAACACATACATTCGCCCTCGTAGGCTGACGTATTCTCAGCGAAAAGTTTTTTTTTTTTTCCCCTTTATTCATCCAGGTGATCGTCTCCGAGGATATCTGGGAGGATTGCCTCAGGGATATCCGGATGGCCTGCTTTGGTGTTTTTGCCATCTGCCGCATAGCCCTGCGGACTCGAGGGGAACCCAAGTACGGAGGTCCATATCTACATAAGGGAAAAAAACGATTTTTGGGATAGGTGAACCCCGGGGTAGGAAGGGGTATAGTTAGTACGTATAATATATACAATTAACTAGTTATACGCTCGTACCTTCTTATTACGTTTAATATGTAGTTACTATACCGGAATAAGGTTAAAGGGTTAGATACTGAACAGGAGCAGCGTGGGCACGCTATTAGAGACCCGTATGGTAATGGCTACCCAACTGCCAACAGCTGGCCCAGTGCCGATTGAACTGGATGACAGCTGTGAACAGCTGTAGTCAGTTGCTTGGCCAACTAAAACGGCAGCTGGGAGAGGAATGAGGAATGGGAAGGCTAAATAGCGATTGAAGGCATATTATAAAACGAGTAAATTATAGGTCGTGATGCCTACAGGTCTAAGTCTGATCTATGAAAATCTAGGTGCGAGACCCATATAAGTAAGCTAGGGCACCCCTCCACGAGCCACCCCTTCACGGACTACCGCGTTAGGACCTACGAACGCGCCTTTTAACGCGACGCCCTTACTTAAATAACCTATAATTTCTCGGTTAATTTTAATCTTTAGTAATTCCTTTAGCTATTAATCTCTTCCTAATTTCTTATTAATTAAGATAATATCTTTAAAGGAAACGTAAATCCGTATAAAAGCCGCTATTCGGGAGATTATATGCGGTACTAATATCCGAAAAGCTACCCTTCGATATAGCGTCTCTCGTTCCTACCTAACGCGCCGTTTCGCTAATAAACTAATAAGATAAGAACTAAATAAGAATCGGTAAGCTTTATTACCGATCTTAGAAGCTAAATTAATTTATTAAGTTATTTCGTAAGTTAAGTTAAGCTTCGCGTTAGCCTTTATTTAATTTAAGCTTATAATTAACCGCTTATTAAACGCTAACGACGGTTCTAAAAAGCTAAGGAAGTATTAATATTATCGTTTTTTAGATCGAAACCTAGAGGTTAAGGCTTTTAAGGCTAAGATCGTCGATTATAAGCGGATTAAGGACGTTACGGCGGTAAATATTAACCTCTTTTTCGACCGATTAAAAGCTTCCGAATTATTAGCTATTCCTCCTAAGCGCTTCTTTAACGCCGACGAGATAGGTATCGCATAAGGCGTTACCGGTAACCATTAGGTAATTTCTAAAGCCGATATCTATATAATACTTAAGAAAGGCGTCGAAAAAGGTTAATAAATTATTACTTTTAAATATATAAGCTTCGGCGGAAAGCCTTTTCCTTTCTTAGTACTTTTTAAGGGTATCGACGTTTAGGCTTAATAATTTCCTAACGATTCTTACGATCTTTAGGAGGATTAACGGTTTTAAGCGTTACCTAAAGGATAAATTAATAATAATATCGCGTTAAGTTAGCTCGAAGGTATCTTTATTTCTTATATTCGGGTCCGTTTCGGTAATAAATAAGTCGTCTTAATTTACGACGGCTATAAATCGTATACCTACGACGCCTTTCTTACGCGTTATCTTTAAAATAAAATATAGTTCGTTTTTTACTAGCCTTACTATAGTTACGTCGTATAGGTTTTAAATATCGGAATATTGGGGTTATTAAAAAAACGGCTTAAAAGCCTCCTTAAGAAAAGCTAAAGTACGAATCTAAACCTATACCTTATTAAGATCGATATATTAAAGGTATACCGATAAGCTAAGGTCGATATAATAACTTTTCGAATTATTAAAGGAGCTTAGAAAACCTTTAGGATTTATCCTAGAAACCGCGAGAAGCCGTTATCGTCGAGATTCGTAGTTATAAAGGATAAGGATATTCCTAGATCTCGGCCGAAACGATCGGAGGTATCGGAGGTTATCGAAAGGCTAAAAATACCTAATTTTTTAACGTTATTAGCTCTAGAATACGTTAATATATCCTTAAACGGCTAGGTATTACGAAACGTTACTTAACGATTTATTCCTATTAATTCTAAGGCTAAGGCCGTATCGTAGCGATTATTTATTCGGAAAATTAACGATACCTTCGACCGGTAGGTTAATACGATCGCGACTTTTATAACCTAGCTTTAATATAAGACCGCTAAAAACGATAAGGCCATTATTAAGACGCGTAAGAAGGTATGCGTAGCGCTAGGGGAGCGCTTCGTTCGTATAGCGGATATACGGTAGGTAAAAAGGTCGTTAAGAGGTAGGGTAGTATATAAGGACGAGGTAAGCGACGAGAAGGTACCTAGAGAGGCTAAAACGGCGCTAGGAACGCCTAAAAACGAAGCATCGTAAGCGGAGGATTATATCGAGGTTATAACGCCGGAATTAAAAGGTTTTAATTAATTTTAATAATATAAATAACTTTAATTATTAACGTAATAATTACTAGGTAATGCTTAATTTAGGTAGCTCGTGGAGGGGTAGCTCGTGGAGGGGTAGCCTAACTTACTTATCTAAAAGGCCACATAGCCTAGTTTTACCGTACTACTGCAATATATAGGTAGCTCTTTATGTAATATACCCCTTAACTAAGCTCGCGATAACAAGCTTAATTGAAAAATGTTAACTTAATTAAAGAACTCGTGGTAATTAGCTCGGCTGCCTTCTTAATTAAAGAACTAGGGTAGCTAGTTAAGGAGATGATATTACCTCTGAAGAGGTGGCCACGGTCCTGAGCCCTCAGCTAGCATTCTACGAATTGCCTGACACTTGCTACTCGTGTAGCCTAAGCAGAGAGTGCTATGGAGTCAAGTTCTTTCACTCTGGTCCGGTTGTGGTTTCGAGGAATCGATTTGTCGGCTTTTCCTACTGCTGCCTAAGGCTTCTTAGTACATGCGAAAACCGGGTCAATCAACCACTTCGCAAGCGTCCCATCCCGGGGCAGCCCTGAGTCTTCTGAGATGGTTGCTCAGGTCGTGTGGATAGACATTAACGAGTTCGATTAGCCTGTTCTCCCGGAGGGTTATTCTTAGGTTGCTATAGAATCTCGTCTACTAACGTACATCTCTAACGTTACGGATAAAGACGTAGTTATAATAGCAAGGACTCCGCGGGTATTTCCCCATATCGTCCCTTTTAATGCCGTAGTTCGGTAGTACATTTCGCGAGATCGGATCCAAATCCACGTTCATGACCTCCGACGAGCGAAATCTCTAGGCTATTTTCCTGGCTTTGTGGTATTATATACTGTAGAGGTCAAGAAAAGAGGTTAACTTATACTGCCTAGGGATAGGTTCCGGTACCGAAACAGAGGATCCTCTTAGGGTTCTAAAGGGGTACAGAGTAAAGCCTCTCTCCCGTCAGGAAGAAGAACATATTATCGCTTTAATGTTGGCGCCGGATCAGGGTACTCCGTAGTAGTGCCGCTTACTATATCTCTTTAACCTACGTGCGATGCTGTACTTGGTTATCATTGAGGTCGACTTGAGTAGCAATTGGGCCTGTGCTGGATGATGCGGACAGCTCTTGTCGGCCTAGGGTTGAGGTGGAATCTGCCCACATAGAAGCAAGCGCCTGCCCTTGAGTCGAATAAATCGTGCCCTCGTCATGCCTATCTTCTTGCCCTCGAAATGAGGTCGGGGGTCTGCCGTCCCTGCTTTCTTCCCTCCCGCGGGTGCTTGGAGGCTGTTAGCTCGCGTAAAAGGTCATCGACGATGAAGAGACTCGCCCACTATTGTTTCGGGCATCTCCGGAGCCGAAGCAGCCACCACCGACAAACCGAAGAAACTTCACAAGACCGGCAGACTTTGACTTGCCATGCAGAGTGACCTGAATACATTGGTGATCAGATGCGTATGGTGCTAAATGGGGAGTACTTTACGAGGCCTTCTGTGAAGCAGGCTGGAGTGGTTGCTGGAGCTGCAAGAAATCCCATTCCCAATGCACGCGAAATAGGGGCTATAATGCCAAGTGTATATACAAACTACTAGAAAAGATTTCTGAATTGACTAGATTGACTAAATTTTCCATGAATTTCAGCCTACCTTAACCTTTGGTCAACTTTGTAAGCCATGTTATTAGATACAACTATAGCCGGAAAGGAGACTAATCGGACGACAATCACAAATTTATTTCTTCCCAAATAAAAAAACCCATGTCCTCCTACGCCTCCAACCGGTCCTCGCACTTTCCAAACAACCGAACCTCAAATCCTCAGACGGCCTCTACGGAGGGCCCGAACCGCCTTTCCGCTTGCTCCTGAAGCTCTTTCGTCCAGCGGAACCCATTCTCCCGACACTCCTTTGCCAACACCCCGTGCTGTTCGACCGTAAGTGTGATACGCCCGCCGCCCTCGCGAGACTCCTGCCAGTACACAAAAGGCACCACAAACCCATGCGCCTTCTCAAACTCGCCCAGCAGCTCTATCCTCTGGGGGTCGATCAGACTGCGCATCCTCGCCGACTGGGCCTCAAATGTGGACGGGCTCAGGGCGAGGACTTTCTCGAGGCTCTCCATCTCCGTCTTCATGGCCTCGCTTATGTCGCCAACCTCCTCGGGAGGACCGGTGAAGGGCCCCTGGATCAGAACAGACCCGTCGTGCCGCACGAGGAACGAGTGTCGGCTCAACTGCCCCTTCGCGATGCCGAGGGCGTGCAGCCGCGCTAGGGCGGTCTTGCACTTCTCCAAGTCGGCAGGGCCGGCCTCGCGAGCGTCGGGGATGCGCTCGAGCAGAAACCCGACCACCCGCGAGCGGTTCTCGGTGATGTGCCCCAGGAAGCGCGGCGCCAGCCCGGGGTCGCGCGACTGGATGATCTCGTAGGTGCGGGCTTCGTTCCGGATGCCAACCCAGTGGCCGGGCAACCAGTCTGACACGCGGACTACCTCCTTCGCATCCGTCACATCTCGGGTGGGCGCGGCGATGATGGACGCGGAGACGTAGCCCATGCACTGAAGGTCAGTGGGCTTGGGGACGCTGATCTCCTTCCCGGCTGCGTCGACTACGGTGGTCCAGCGCGGGCTGTCCGGAGCGTCCTGGCAGTCCCCCTCCTCGACGGCCGTGCTGCACCAGGCGGGTCCGGCGCTGTACAGTCCTAGGCCCTCAAGCGCATCGACGGCATCGGCCTCGGTCGATGCGAGCCGGAGCTTGCCCCCCCGGCTGTCATCACCACCTTCCTCGGCAACGACGAGCCGGCCGACGACCCAGTCGCCGGGAGGGACCTTGTCGAAAGCGAGGTTGTCGTAGCGGCGGATGTGAGCGTCGGGCCCGGTGAAGACCTTGCTCGAGTTCGGGGCGACCAGGTACTTGATGGCCGTCCCGGCCGCGGCGGCCTGCGCGGGCTGGAGACGAATGCGGTACAGGTCCGGCGAGTCGGGGAAGGCGAGCATGCCTGGCTGGACGCCGTCGATTGTGAAGGGAACGGCGGCGGCGGGTTGTGAAGGCTGCATGGTTTCTTGTGAGGGCGAGGGGATGGACGGGCAAAGCGTGTAATCGAGAGGAGCAAATGACGGGTTGGCTACTGGGCGTGAGAGGATAGGCGTTGTATTTGTCTCAGTCTCTTGTGACTGTGCGATCTGGCGAGTGTGATATGCGTGGTTGCGAGTTCAGCAAGAAGGACGGAAGAGGGAGATTTGAGCCCTTTATATAGGTATTCGTCTTGTCGTCGTCTGTTGTAGATGGCTCGGCATGCGTTCAGCTCCTATTCTGTTGGATTGACCTGTATTCCCAGGACGGGAATGCCCAGGACGGGAATGCCCAGGACGGGAATGCCCAGGACGGGAATGAAGACGTGGTGCAGTCATGTAGGTAGGTATGTCCGAGGCACGGAAGCTACATGTCTAAGGCACGGAAGCTGCAGGTCTGATGCACGGAAGCTGCAGGTCTAACGCATGGAAGCTGCATGTCTGATGCATGCAGCTGCAAGACTCCTCCCCCGTTTCCGATACGTACCTACGCCGTGTAGACCCCGCTATGGACACGCAAATCCAGGGGGTATCGGTACAATAGTGACCGGCCAGACTGTACCGCCTATCTACCTACCTGTAGGTAGCTATCTAGGTGGGGAATACAAGAGAACTCGGGAAGAGAGAATGGACGCCAACCTAGGGGACTAAGGCCTGCCAGGCCGGCAACATCTGAAGGCTCCGTAGTCCAGCTACCGACGACTCCTCGAACAACAGCCACCGCCTCCTCCTCCCGAGTTGACATAACCCCTTTCTGGAACCGATAGGTGTCGAGGGGAGCTCGTGTGGTCGTTATTGGCCTGGCTATCCGTCATTGTTAATAGCTACAGACAAGGCCTCATCTCGCCGCGCGGCTCAGTGAAACGTTATTATTTCTCTCGTTGGAAGCAATAAACTTATAACTATGCCTACTAGCTGGTCTTCGTGAATAACGACATCGCCCTAATTTCAAGACAGGTCAGTTTGCACCACCCGATAGAGAAAAGAACACGGCCAACAAGCGCCATCCAATTCCCACAAGGCAATGTAGGGTAGGCCGGACTTCCATTTATGGCAAAAGTCTGGCCAACAAAAACAACCCTGCGGCGTTAACATAGGTATTGATGTCGGATGCCAGAGTGGCCATGCTCTGGATCTAACCATCTACAAGGCCTGCCTCAGGTCTTGTCACGTACCCGTATATTCCACCAGGTAGGGAGCGCAACAACTGAAGTTGTAGGATGTTAGTTAACATATTGTCACCACCCCTTATCGTCACCCTTTGTCGCCACTCCCATTTCCACCCGACACTGGAGCCTCTCCCCTCGACGGCCTCGTCGTTCTTCATCAACAATAACCTCAATTTAGTACTTACTATTACGCATCATCCCGACTGGCGTTAGCCGTTAGGTAGCTGTGCCAGGCTCGGTATTAGCGCCATGACTCACACAGATAGCGGTAGTGTGGCCGAGTTAGGCTGAGCCAAAGAGTTGTTTTCAGCACCGGGATAGTAGTAGGACGTTGTGTTAGCATTGCTTCCAACAAGCAAAGTGTAGAGTCATCCTATTCAGATTGATCTCCATGTACACATAAGCCACTGTGTTACACCTCCCACTTCAGGTTGTACAACCATTCTCAGCATGTCTAGCCATATCATCAAAGCTACTAGGCCTAAACACGACAGAACAAACGAGAACTTCCCGAAACGTAGCAAAAGCTTGCTAGAAAAGAGTGATGGCTTGACAGAATATAACGCTGATATCCACCTACTTATTCGGCGTCATGGTAAACTCCGGGAATACAACTCCATCGACTGCAAGTGCTGGCCCCTTTCGCCTGATAAAATTATAAGCACTCTGACACGACACGATATAGTAAAAGGCGAAATGGGTGTCACGGGTTTTGTTAGATGACGATTATATGAGGTTGTCCCATTTTTTGGCCCTTGTGGCTTGACCCCTGCTGACCTATTTTCGCTTTAAAGTATCGTATAACAATGTTATGTCACAGAAGAGAGCTAATTCTTGCTTATATCGTTTACCGACCGCTTCTATTGCTGATTATGGCCGAATTACGCATCTGCTTACAAGTTCACGGGCGCGCACCTGGGCACCAGAACAAAAGCCTCATTCTCTCCTCGCTAGAGAAGCTTCAGCGGCGTATTGTCTAGGGTATCCTTCCTATTCTGGCACTGAAGGCCTCCTGGGCTAATAGCGTCCGAGTACGGTATAAAATGGCGGTAAATAGCGTTCCTCCGGCGAAACTAGGCTGCGCCCTCGTGCGTGTAGATTGGTGCCTTAATTGTACTTACAGAAGGGAAAAAAAATTGCCTTCGATGATTTAGGTAATAGACCTGTGCTTTGTAGCCATGTTATTGCCAGAACCCTTCGGTGGAAGATATCCGCCGCGCACGGTACGCTGCTCCTGAATTCCTCCGCCGTGACCTGCTTGTAGACAGCGAGGGCCCGAGGCTTACCAGAGAATATAGGCTTACTCAACAATGTCTCTCGATCTAGACATTTCTCTCGCGTAATCTATCCATCCCATCCTCAATATTACCACTAATACACCTCCTGTTCACGCAGACGAGATCTCCTTAAGAAGTTCATCGCCGACAAGTGCCGATATGTTATCACCCTGTGGAAACCCGGCGAAACTGCTTATTCGTAGGTACAGACGACGGAGTGGGTAATAATTCGCAGTCCAGTAATAGCTCGTTGACGAGCTGGTTCGGTGGGACCGAGTAGACTTCCTCCCTTCTTTCCAGGCTCCATCTCTCAGCATTAGTTAAGCGGTTGGCCTCGAACTCGTTCTTGACCGATTGCTAGGTAACAGCAACGGTGGCCCGGAGCATAGGGATTTTCCATCGGTTCCCTGTTGGTTCAGTTTCCAGCTCAAGTCGGCAACACGAGGCGTAACTATAAATAAGTCTTTATGGAGCTGCCAGGGCCGCGGTATGGCGTGCCACTCTCTCCAGCGCGGTGCCTTGGCAAGCGAGCCCCTTCGTGGAGAATCTCGACGGCCAATCGGAGAGATTGTCGCCATTATACCCTTTTTGAACGCTATCCTCAACCCCGACGGACTTTAAGGTAGCGCCGCTAGTCCGCGATGGAATTGTCAGCGAAGGACATGGGCATTATTACATGGGGTGTACTGAGGAGGTTGCTTGGTCTTGTAACCGAGGGAAGGTCCACTTATAAGAGCACCGGCTGCGCACCACCGCCGGCTACAAGGAAGCATACGAAAAAAAACGGCCACGAAGTATCACCAGAAGCAGTAAAGAAGCAGCGGAAGCAGTAGTCATGGCTTCCACCATTGTCTTGATCAGCGGCGCCAACAGAGGCTTGGGCAAGGGCCTCCTCCAACGCTACCTAGCACAGCCAGACCACACTGTGATTGCCGCCAACCGCGACCCAGAGCACGCCAGCTCCAAGGAGCTTGACAATCTGCCAAAGGCCGCTGGCAGTAGGCTTATCGTCGTGAAGGTCGAAGCTACAAGCGACTCGGACGCCCTGGAGGCGGTCAAAAAGCTCCAGGACCAAGGCATCGACCACTTGGACATCGTCATCGCGAACTCCGGTATAGTAGACGGGCTCGCGACAGTCGCAGACGTCTCCATCGAGCAGCTACAGCGCCACGTGGACGTTAACTTTTATGGCGGGATACGGTTGTTCCAAGCTACGATCCCGCTGCTGAGGAAGGCCGCAAACCCGAAATTTGTGACAATGGGCACTGCGGCGGCAAGCCTCAAGGTAGGCGCATCGCGTTCTACCCCGAGCTACCAAATCGAGCTAACACCTTTCCAGAACCAAGTCAACATTCCTAATGCGCTGTACGGCCCGACGAAGGCCGCGGGGCACTGGATCGCAGTCAGGATCAATAATGAAGAAGAAAAGGTCAACTCCTTTGTGATCCACCCGGGGTGAGTCGATTATCACCTCTCTCTCGATAATATGCCAGGAGCATACGTTGGCTAATTTCTATCCTAGATTCGTCCAGACCGATATGGGCAACCGAAGCGCGCAAGCGTTGGGTCTAGAGAAGGCATTTGTAACGGTCGATGACTCCTGCGACGGGATATTCAAGTTGATCAGCGAGTCAACTAAGGAAGCCACAGGTGGCAGATTCTGGAACTACGATGGAGAGGAACTCCCGTGGTAGATCACGATACCGTCACTATTGCATCTTGGAATCGACGGGTCGTTATATATGCTAGGGGATATTGGCTCGAGCGACAAGCGCCTTTGGGGTACCCTGACGGCGCTTAGCAGTGACGACCTCAAATCGCATGCCTCCAGGTCCGTAACAGGATCAAAGGCGGGCATTGTCACGTCTGCACTCACCTCACGAGAGCCATACGACAAGACAGTTGACTCCCTTGCCACCGACAACCCCTATGTGAGGAGATCGTCTGTAGATACGAAGGACCAGAGGCCTTCCTCGAGACCGATATAGACGCGTAACCGGGGACCATAGCTCCTACATGGTCCAAGAGAAAGAGAAGGACAAGACAAACCCGCCACATGTCAAATTCGCTCAGCTTCAACCTGTATTTATCTTAGCCCATATCGAATATCACCACTCTTCCATAGACACCCGAAGGCTCTGTGTAACCGAAAAGAGAGATGGAACTCACTACTAGAACCGGTGTTAAACGCGAGCTTACATGCGGAAGACCTCCGGTCAAGGAATGTTCGAATGCGATTACGACTCTTGCCTTCACCAGTTTGGAACCAGCGTTATAGGACTTTAAACATGTGTTACGTAGCTAGCGAGAGCTAAGCTTAGGTTAATAGGTTATTCGCAAAGAGAGTAATAGAATGAGGGTAAGAAGGTATATATTAACTAACTAGAAAAGAAGGAAAGCTATTAAAGAGTATAAAGCGATCTATAGGTATATATAGTAGTACTTAGCTAGCTTAAGTAAGCTAAGTAGTTCTTATTAGGGGTATATACTTACGTAATATACCCCTTAGTTAAGCTTACGATAGTAAGGTTAATTATAGTCCTTTGCTTACGATAGTAGCCCAAGGGGTTATTCCTTAGTCTCGTTATGTTTCGTTAAGGTTAATCGATTACTAGGTACCTTATTTCGGGCTCCCTTATATCCCCTTATCCGTATATACTCCGGTTTATTACTAGTAGTATTTTCTCTTAAGTTATATACTTTTCGTATCCCCTACTTAATACTTTATAGTTTATTATAAATGAAAATAATTACTCGTATAATTATTCGTATAATTACTCGCTTTCGATTAAGCGGTAGTTAGTTATATAGGTAATATAGTAGTAGTAGTAATACCTTTCGTATTAATACTAAGATTTAATCTCCTTTATTACTATCGCGCGCGCTCGCGCGCGTTACCTATATTAACCGATTCTACCGTTTCTCTTACGAAGGCGGTTAAGTATAAATATATCTAGGATTTCTCGCTTTCGAATTAAACGTATCTCTCTCTCTTCCTTTCTTCCCTAGGTTATTTATTATAGATATATATCCCTAACTATAATTAAATAATTCTATTAATTACGCGATCGTAAGCTAATATAACTAATAAAGCTTCGTTAATTTATTATCGCAAGGTAAGTCCGCTTCTTCCGTAATTTACGTAAAGCGTAACTCGCGTATTATACGAATCGTAATATACTTTTATTAAATAACCGTAGGATAATAACCTAGCTTATTACGGTAAAGATTATTATTTACGATTAATATATTACTCTTAATATTAAAGTATCCTAGGATAATAAAGTAACCGTTAGTTATTTTATATTAATAAATAAGAGGTTATTCGAAATAATCCGTTTATTATTTACTCGTTATTTACCGGTAGTAATATAGTACCGTAATTAATAATCTCTTAATATATCCGATACTTAAAAGCTTCGTAAGATAATACTAACGCTTTAAAGTACCGTAGCTTCGTTAGAGTAAAGGATATTCGGCCTTTCCGCCGCGAGCTCCTAACCTATTTCCCGTATTCGTACGAAGGGTAGCGTTAAAGCTTCGGCCGGTAGCCCTATTCGCCGCGGAAGGATACCCTTTACTCCCGGGTCCGGGGCCTTAGTCGTCGCTTAGCCCCTTAAGGATCCCTTTATCGATAAAGATAACGTCGATATAATCGTACCTAACGCCTTAGTATAATATACCTAAGCCTTAATTACTTACGCCTTTTAAAGTACCGTATCTCGAGCTATTAAGGTTTCTACCGACGAATTCTTTAAGAAGGAATCTTCCGAGGAAGACTTCCTCTTTTTATACGAGGAAGTAATCGAAAAAGGCGACCGCCCGGTTATATTAATTACTCGTAAGGTTCTTTCGCGTAAAATCCGAACCTAAATTCGCGTATATTAGGTTACGTTCTTTAATAATATCGCCGTTATTCGCATAACCTAGGCGATCGTTATTATTATTATACCGACCCGTAATAATATCGTAGGACGAGAACGAGAATAAGAACGAAGCCGTAACGCTTCTTCGGTTTCCGGAATTACTACCGCTTCCGTTACTTTCTTTAGCCCGGCCGTTCCGGCGGTTCCGTTTAATACCCCCGTCGCGGCGACCGTTTCCGCTTTTATTACCGTCGCCTTAAGAACTACCTCGGTTATCCGTAATCGAAAGTATAAAACTCGCCGTATAGTTCCTTACTTAAGCTATATACGTAATACGGCCTAAAATAAATCCACTAAAAAGTACTTCGATTCTTTTTAAAGTACCGGCCGTTATTACCGCTATTTATCTAGCTACGCCTACGTACCTTTATAGGTATTCTTACCTCCGTACGTCGAGATCTAGAGCTAATATTATATAAGGCCGACGCTTTAATCTTACCGGCTACCTATCTTATTATCGCTCGTATCGAAGGTTTTATTAATATATAAGCTTTATTCGGCGTTATTTAATACTCGTTAACGTTACTTATAGGCCCTTAAGTTCGTTACGATAATAAAAGAACTCCTAATTCTTTATTAGAATAAGGAGTAAATACCCGCGGTTCCCGAAACCGTAAAATCGTAACGAAGCGTAGCTAACTCCGGTTAGTTTACCTAGCTAAGCGTAAGTCCTTCGGCTACCGGACCATCGACCGCCTTTACCGTACCCGCCCTTAGCTCTATACTTACTAGCCCTTTTATTACTTTAACCGGCGTAAGTAACGCCTCCGCCGGCCTATCGATCGTAATACCTAACGTAGCCTCGCCCGTTATCGCTTTTAAATAAGAATTAAATATAAAAATAAAGGACGTTAGAGAAAAAAAAAGGGAAGAGGAAACTTCCAAGGACGAAAAGTAATCTTTTAAGGAAGTAATATTTAAAATCGCTCGCGTTTACGCGCCTATTTCTTTCGAGTAATACTTATACGAAGTATTATACCGATAAGCCGACCGCTTATACGAAGAAATTATTAAGTATTAAAACGAATCCGCCGGTACTCGTATCTCTTATTAATCCGGCCTTACTTATTACTCCCGTAGTTAAGTTTTTTATCTTAAAATAGCCTTCCTATATTAAGATCTAGGAATAATACGAGTTCGGTATTTAACGATAAAAAGAGCTATTTCTATATAGCGATAATACTTTATACCTATACATTAGCTAATTAAGGAAAGAATTTACGTACCGTTAATACTTACGGCGACTCTTTAAATATTATTATAATTATTTCTCCGTAAGCGTCCTATAGGTTAAGTAATACTTTAAAGTACTTAAACGATTAACGTAATAAAGCTTTCGTAAATCTGTTTATTAATATTTAATTAATAAAAAGGTAAATTACTTCGAAGGTATCCTTTTAATACTCCTAGCGTAACTATATATTCTATATATCTATATAACGTAGCCTAGTATTAATCCTTTCTTTCTCCCCTATTATTAATCTTATCGTTTATTAGTTATCGCTATATACCCTTTAAGGTTTTCCTAGCTCTAAGGTAATATCCCTAAAGAAACGTTTAAGAGCTATCGTTTTCTTAACTATATGTTTTAATATAAGTAATTTAGCTTTAGTCGTCGATATCGATACTATATCCTAACGAACGGCTTTTTATATAATCGGACCTTTAAATAGGGATATTACGTATCCCTAAGACGACTTTTTTAACTTAGAATCGTTTATAAACGAAGCGTTACTACTAATTAAGAATACTTAAGCGCTATTATTCTTATCCTTATACCTTATGCTAAGGAAGCGAGTAATATATAGGTATTTAATCGTTTAATTAATCGCTTTAAAGTATTAAGGTTCTAAATTAATTAAGAAATAGAATAGTTAGGACGTTACGAAAGCGACGTTTAGGCGTATTATAATTACGCTATAAAGTAATAACCCTACTTTCTCCTAGTATTCCTTAACTTATTATTTCGAAGTAACGCTTATATACTTTACTAGCTTAGTAATTAATAGTAGTATTATCGGAAATTAATTATTATCCGTTAGTTTAAAGCGTTTAATAATCTTTTCGATATAAGCGTCGTATATTAAGGTTATAGTTCGTACTTTGCGATTACGTATTACCCTAATCCCTAAATATTACTTTACCGGTTTAAGTTCTTTCGTTTTATAGGTATCCTTTAACCCCTAAACTACCTTTTATACTATCGCCTTTAAGCTTTTATAGTTTATAATTAATATATCGTTTACGTATACTAATACGAAGACTTCTCGTTTTTTTATATAAAATAAGTACGGCTCCTTTGGAAAGCTCTAAAGTTTTAAGCGGTTAAAGGTACTCTCGATCTCCTTAAACTAAAGTAGGGGTAAATCTCTAAACCCGTATACTACTCTTATAGCGAGGACGCATTTTTCTTTTTCCTTAAACCCGTTTAATAACTTTATAAGTATAAGGTCGCTTTCCGGTCTTACTACGTTAAAAAACGCGTTTTTAATATCATACTAATTAACTTCGAGGTCGAATTATATTACGATAGCTATCATTATACGGAACGATTTTATTACTAACGTAGTTACGTAAATACTTTCGAGTAACTCTTTAGGCTATAAATTTCCTCGCGTTATTAAGCGCGACTTATAGGTAGTAAGGAAATTATCTTTATCGAATTTATAATTGAAGACTTATATTAATAAAATTAGCTTTATTTTTATCCGTTTGCGATTAATAATACGTTATACTTTAATACGTAAGAAGGCCTTAATCTTAGATCTAGCGTTTTCTTTAAATCGCTCTCCTAATAAATACTTATCTAGGTTCTTTTATATCTTTAACGGTTTAAATAAATCGTCGCGGTAAATTCTTATCTTACTAAGCGATACGCTTAATCGCTTAGCTTTCGTTTAATTAACGGTTATTACGAAAACTAAGTATAACGTAATGTATTTATCGTAGTTCTTTACTTATTATCCTTTTAATTAATTAAGCTAAAAGGTTATTACGAAATCGAGCTAGCGATTTCTTAAAAGGTTATTCCTAGCCGTTAGGTTACCCGATATTACGTAAACTCTAGTACTTAAGCTACTTATTACTCTATCTTTTTCCGGGCTTTCTCCTTTCTTTCTTTTACTATAACGGATAGTAGGAAAATAAACCTTTCTCTTGCGCTACTTACGCTAAGTAGTTTATAGGGATAGGTTATATTATTCCTTTTCTTTAGAGGAAGTACGCGTTTCTTTAGTTAATTATTCTAGAGGTTATTTCCGAGTATTTATTCCGTCGGCGAAGTATATTCGCCGCTCCGGACTTTCGGTACTTTTATTAATAGCCGTACCTAACTTTAGTTACTTTATACTCCTTATCGGAATAC